GAACAGAAGTTGCCTTCAGAACTTGTGGGAGCTTCATCACTGGAAGCGTTCAAAAAGAGACTGGACTGCCACCTGTCAGAAATGGTGTAGGGTCTCCTGATTTTGGGTGTGTGGGATGGGGGTTGGACTAGATGACCTAGAAAAGTCCCTTCCAACTCTGTTAATCTGTATATATGATGTGCTAGATGCTGATGTTAAAATTGTCCTGTTTCTTGTTAGGAGAAGGAAGTTTGAGCAGGTTGAAAAATTTGAAGCCATTACTCTTGTCTTTAGCTATTGTGCCTGTCAGGGATGGTGAGTGAGGGTTCTACTCTCACAACCGCAGTCCTTCCAGGCTTGGGGTTCTAAGATGGAAAATAAACCCGTTTTGTGAAAGGTTCAACACCCTGCTGGAGGTGAGGCTCTATTCCAGAGGTCTTCAAAGCTATGCTGGCTGGAGAATTCTGGGAGTTGAAGTCCACAAGTCTTAAAGCTGCCAAGTTTGGGGGGGGGGGGGGCTGCTCTATTTAGAACAGCTTTCCGAACGTTCCCAGTTCAACCTCTCTTGCTTTGCTGAAATGTGTATAATTTGTGCTTGACTGCTCAAAAAGGTTGGGGTGTTATAAGCCAGAAAGTAGGGCTTGCTTGTTCTCCCTGCTGCATTAACAGCTTGCATCTTGGAAGGGGAAACTGATATGGATACCCACCTGGAAACTGCTTGGTACCTGGGTTTGGTCCTCCTCATCCTGAAAACAGGAGAGAAAATAATCCAGCACAAAAGCACTGAATTGCATAAACCCTTACCAATATTGTTAATAACTGTTATCGGTGATCGGGAATTTAAGAGTCATGGTGGCGCAGTGGTTAGAGTGCAGTACTGCAGGCTTATTTCTGCTGAGTGCCAGCTGCCTGCAATTTGGCAGTTCGAATCTCACCAGGCTCAAGGTTGACTCAACCTTCCATCCTTCCGAGATGGGTCAAATGAGGATCCAGATTGTTGGGGGCAACAGGCTGATTCTGTAAACCGCTTAGAGCGGGCTGTAAAGCAATGTAAAGCGGTATATAAGTCTTAAGTGCTATTGCTACTGCTAACTGCTTGGTTTCAAGAGAAAGCAAGTCTGAGCTGTCAGGGTTCCAATTAATATCCCCAACCAAGTAAGACTCCCAAGGCAGGCATTGCCTCAAAGTACTAAAACCTACCAGGATAAACCCAACTTTCTTCTGGATTGAAATCTGCCAAAAACTAATCTGGATTCCTTAACTAATTCAACTTGTTTGTTCAGATTTAAGCATCTCCCTTGTTTCTGTTCTTCAACCTTCAGAGAAGACAGTTAGGGTTCATCACATGTAATACCTCTCATGTCATAGTTGTTGAACTACATTTAAACCTGGCTTAGATTACACTAGAAAACCATTGATAGAATAACAGAATAACAGAGTTGGAAGGGACTTTGGAGGTCTAGTCCAAACCTCTACTCAAGCAGGAGACCCCATACCATTTCAGACAAATTGTTGTCCAATCTCTTCTTTAAAACCTTCATTGTTGGAGCACCCACAACTTCTGGAGGCAAGTCGTTCCACAGACTATCAATCAGTTCTGAAATAAGATCTTTAGTATGTGAAATAGGTGCTTTATTATTAAGCTATGGCCCTTTTAAAGCTGATTCACACACTCTCTGGAAAGATACAGCAGCCACTAACTCTCTGTTAAATGATATAGAAGTGGTTTAGTTTGTTAGCAGCTATCTCTAATATAATCAGAAAGTTATGAAGCTTAAAAGGGCTTCATGGAACATCTAGCCAAACTGTTTCAGAGTGCAGGAAAACCAGTTAAATTCCAACTTTGAGAGTTGGCTGTCCAGCCCTTCCTAAAAGTTTAGAAGTTATCTAATCAACACATTCCAAATCTTTCAACCTTTCTCAAATTACAAGAGAACTTATTTTGATTTCCACCCCCCCCCACCCCCACCCCCAGCTTAGATGAACCCTCCATAAAGATGGGGCTTCATTAAGCTGTTGGTCTCCAGGGAGAATCGTTTTAAAATATGGTGTTAAAGCTAACCTCTTTTTTAAGGTCCCAAATGTTTTCCTTCCCACAATTTTGTTTTGCAAGCTCTGGGTATGTTTTGATACTGCGCAGGGCCTTATAAGTCTAGATATTTAAAGTTGACGGGTGCAGTTCAGCATTCCATCTGGCTCGCGTCAAGTGCTTCCAGCTGCATTGTGTCTCCGGACATGAGACAAAGCTTGGGAGAACATCAACAGCAGGCTCCTAGCTGCATCCAGAGCCGGCATATTTGAGGAACACTCATGTTCTACCCCAATCAAGGCCCAAACAGAGGGCTGAATTTAATAAATAAATAATAATAACTTTATTGTCATTGTACGTGTATACACAGTATACCCATCCAACGAAATTCACTTAACCCCCAAAGACCAGGTCCAACACACATAACAATCCCCAAACACCCCACCACCCACCATAATTTCCCCACCCCTAAACCACCCAAACAGCCACACAACAGACCATTTACTTCTTTTTTTTTATTTATTTATTTATTTTAAAATTTGATTTATATGCCGCCCTTCTCCGAAGACTCAGGGCGGCTTACAATGCGCTAAGCAATAGCCTTCATCCTTTTGTATATTTATACAAAGTCAGCTTATTGCCCCCACAACTGGGTCCTCAATTTACCTACCTTAGAAAGGATGGAAGGCTGAGTCAACCTTGAGCCTTGGCGAGATTCGAACCCTGCAGTAATTGCAGGCAGCTGGTCTTAATAACCAGCTTAATAACAGGGTGCCTTAAACCCCTGTACTACCAAGGCTCTTTCCCGATTCTGAGGATGCCAGGGCTCTTGTTAAGCAGCTGCAATCCTAAACTATCCATAACTGAGACATCCTATTATGTGAATTGAGGCTAGGAGTAAATCGAGCAAGCCGCTTTTTTAGAGAACTGTGACTTGTGTCTTAGGTGAACATACAGCCGTCACGTTTCAGTCAAAATTGTCACCCTGTCAAGAGCACGTCATTAGATATTTCTGCTATTTGTTTTTGCCTCCCCCGTATTCTGCTTCAATGTTCTTTTGGATCCCACATTTGTGCACGTGTGTATGGACTTACTTGGTCCAGAAAACAAGCTCTCCCTAGTCTATAGCTAAATTGGCAAGTTGCTTGGAGGCTTAAAAGATGTGCCTCTTTTCTCAATGCAGCAAAAGCTGCATCAACTGATTGCATTCCTAGGAGCAAAGATTTCGTCAGATTGTCCAGCAGGCCAAGAGATTGTCATCTCCTCTGAGTAAAGCCATGTGAACAATATGTGGTCCAAGTGTTGCTGTTTAGATTTCAAGGGCTAGATGGAAACAAAGCTACGGTAGTTCTTAGAAGAACACACACCAGGAGATGGCATCAAAAACCTCAGCCTGTGGAAGAGAGAATATCGCTATGAGAATTATGCCCAGGTTTGTCAGAAATTACAGTTGGACATCAAATCATGTTCCTGAAAACAGTCATTTTTAATTGTGCAGCAACTAAAAAGACGCTGCATTGAAGAAGCATGGCCAAAACCTAAACTGGTACTTGCGGAGTTACCAGATTCTCAGAAGCATTTAAAAAAGTGTCAACATTTGCAAAACCTTGCATAAAATTCTAAACAAGAAGTCTCTGCAATTTCCAAACAAGCTTGACGTGTAATATAATCTTCATCAAGAAATAGTTGCTAGGGTAGAATTAATGATCTTAAACAATAACATTAGCAGTGTATGGTTTTTAAAAAGGGGCTCATGTTTAATTTCAAGATACTGTTGGTTGCGCTCAGCTGAGAGTAGGTTAGCAGAAGCAAAATAGCCAAGGTTGCCATTAAGAATATCGCTGGCCAAACATCCTTATTGCGAAGAACCTGGTGAAGAGGGCATTTCATCTGGAAAACCACTTTTTTACAGAACCAAGGGCCTTGTCTAGATTCTGCAGCAAATGTTGAGTATGTGCTATGTTTCCCAAGCTAAAATTTCAGAATCCCTCTGTCCATAACTGCCGTAAGACCGTCACAGCAGGGGTGCTATTCAGCAGGTTCTGACAGGTTCTGGAGAACCAGTAGCGGAAATTTTGAGTAGTTCGGAGAACCGGCAAATATCACCTCTGGCTGGCCCCAGAGTGGGGAGGGAATGGAGATTTTGCAGTATCCTTCCCCTGCCATGCCCACCAAGCCACGCCCACAGAACCAGTAGTAAAAAAAATTGAATTCCACCACTGTGTCACAGTATTTCTCAACCTTGGCAACTTGAAAATGCAGGGACCTCCACTCTCAGAATTCCCCAAGGAGTAATGAATGAGTTCCATCTACTTCTTGCAACCTTTAAACTCTTAGTAGGCAAGGAGACCAAATCTCTGTGCATCCATTCAGTGGACTCCTTGATTCTGCAAGACCCCAATATCAGATTATCTTAAACACGGGAGAGGAAGTTTGTTTTTAAAATCCCTATCTAGGTACAGAAGAAAAACTTTTTGTCGAGATTGCAATTTGATTCTTTCTCCAAAAGGTGTGGGTTTTTTTTTTTTTTTGTTAAATAGCTATCCACATTGCAAAGAGAAAAGCTTTTATTGGTACCGGTGAGAGATTTTATACCTCTTAAAGTTACCTGTGGGAGTTGGGAGATCACTTTTTTTTTAATGGGGGTGGTGGGCTGAGAGATGAAAATGGCCTCCTCTGCTTGCTCTTGTCTCGATGAAAATGAGTCATTTTGGTGCGTAATTTTTTTTTTTTTTAAATATTTGTTACCTATCTAACATTGTGTAGCTTGGCCCTGAGTCAGATGGGATTCAATTTCATGTGACTCAGACGAGAACATTTGTTTCCACATGGATGGAGAACACCCTTCCCTGAATTCATCCTGTTCCTGGGATTCATCAGGTCATGTGATCTCATACCTGAAGGACCTCAACTCTCGTAAATACCATACGGTAATTATGAGGTCCAATGATCTCGAACTCTGTTGAGATATATGGTTCCCTGTCTCCCTTAGGTACGGACACTTTTTGTGAGTGGCCTTCCAGTGGACATCAAGCCCCGAGAATTGTACCTCCTTTTCCGACCATTTAAGGTGAGCAGGACCTAAAAAACAAATGCCTGGGTCTAACTGGGGAAGCCCTCTTGTTCAATAGTAGAGCATCTTCTCAACATGCAGGTAGTGGTCCGCAGAAAAATTATTTGAATTTTTTATATTGCACTCAATCAGGGGTCCTCAAACTACGGCCCCTGGGACAGATATGTGCAATGAACGCTTGTGTTGCTGCAGAGAGTCTCCCCCTTCGGGGTCTTCTTGTGTGGGTTGGAGTGGGGCAGAAATTCTGACTTGGGGTCTGCTTCGGCCTCCTGGTGCGGGGCTTTGGGCGAAGGCTGGAGGGAAGCGCCAGTGGTGGCAAAGAACAGGAGGGCCTTGTTCCAATGGGACTGCATCATGGCCTGGAACTGGCTGACCATCTCAGCCCGCTGAGTCTCCAGGCGCCCGCACCGGGCCTTGCACTCCTGCAGGGTCTTCTCTCTGTTTCGAAAGCCTATGCTCCTAGTCCTCACTGAGGTGCTTCTGCTGAGTCTCCTTCTCGGTCAGATCCAATTTGAACTGAGCTGTTTTGCCAACTCTTTCTCGTGGTGGCTGCTTAGCTCCAACAACTGCTTCCTGTTGGGGCACTAAGGAGCCTGGGCGGGCAGGGGAGGAGGGGCTGGGAGGGGAGGGGCGAGTAGAGACCGGCGAGGCGCCGCTCAACGTGAGTGACATCGAATTTACCACACCCACCCAGTCACATGACCACCTAGCCATGCCCACCCAGCTGGTCATTAGGCAGATCATTAGTGGTCCGTGGGATTTAAAATTATGAATTTAGTGGTCCCTGAAGTCTGAAAGGTTGGGGACCCCTTCTTTAGTGTATTGATTAAGCGGCGTTTTTACCGAAGGGAGTTTGGTCTGAAAAATGTATTACAGTACAAAGGAAGTACAGTTAGCTCAGGCTGAACTGTAGAATCTTGACCCTTGGTTCTTGCCTTGCAGACATTTGATGATGTTACCTACTTGGGTAATGAAAACCACCAAGCTCAAGAGAGCACCAAGGAGCCCACAATTGTATATTGCAACTAGCAAAACACAGTAGTTGACAAATTGTGTGTGTATGGGGAAAATATGGTCAGAATAGTAACTGCATCTTAGTTTAACTTTTTCCTCTTCACGGCAACCAATATAACAAATTTACTGTTTCCTTTCTCTAGGGTTATGAAGGATCACTGATCAAACTAACATCCAAACAGGTAATGCCTCTCCTTAACTCCTGTTCTGGCAGCCACCCAGTGCAGCTTAAATCAAGGACCAGTTCACCTCCTAAGACCTAAGGGAAAGGAACCTTGCAGGATTATAGCTGATGCTTCAATTAAGCAATCCAAAGCATCTGTCCAAATGCCTTGGCAACCTCCAGACATGTAGACTTCAACTCCCAGAATTCTAATCTATGGCTGTGCTGGCTGTGGAAATTTGGGAGTTGAAGTCTACAACGCTGGAGATTACCCAGCTTCAGAAACAGGGTCCTAGATCAGGGCCCCCCAAACTTGGCAACTTTAAGACTTGTGGACTTCAACTCCCAGAATTCTATGGGAGGCTGGAGAATTCTGGGAGTTGAAGTCCACAAGTCTTAAAGTTGCCAAGTTTGAAGACCTCTGTCCTAGATCTTCCCCCTCGGCAGTGAGAGAGCCAGCTGAGTTTGGGTCCTAGAAGAAATGTTCTACTTGCTAGCAAAATAGCCCATCTACCTAGGCTTCTGTTTTGGCACCAGGTCTGGTGAAGGTTACTTCATGTTGTTCTAGAACAGGCCTGGCCAATTTAGGGGTGACGCAGTGGTTAGAGTGCAGTATTGCAGGTGAACTCTGCCCATTGCCAGGAGTTCGATCCTGACCAGTTCAAGGTTGACTCAGCCTTCCATCCTTCTGAGGTTGGTAAAACGAGGATCCAGATTGTTGTGGGCCCAATAATAAGACCCTGTCTTATATATTTTTTGAACCCTGAAATAAGCGCTTGGCCTTATTTTCGGGGAGGTCTTATTATTTTGGGACGCGTGGAGCAAGGTGGGGCTCCTCTTGCCGTCGTACCTGATTTCCAGCTCTGTATTTAAATATTTTCAGGGAGGGCTTATTTTCGGGGGGGGGAGGCTTATTTTAGCGCATGCGCTCAAAAGCCCGATTGGACTTATTATCAGGGGATGTCTTATTTTTGGGGAAACAGGGTATTACTGCCACCCAGATGTATGGTTCTGTTTCAATAATACTCACCTGTTCTGGAGCATCCTGCCTGGGGAAGGCTACCTATACAAATGATGATGCTTCATCCTTAGCCAGACGGGCCAGAGATTGGTTGCTGTAAGGAACAGCACTTGGCTGAAATGGAAACAAGGTGGAAATGAACAAATATATACCGTATTTTTTCGGAGTATAAAACGCACCTTAGTTTTTGAGGAGGAAAATAAGAAAAAAGCTGATTGGCGGGTGGATCGGCCTCCTGTAATACCCCCAATCATGTGAATTTTAGCAACAGTTTCGTTGGTTGTGAGCTCTGTGCCTTGCCTTTTTTTGCTTTTATTTCTGCCTCTGAAAGCCTCTGAAACAGAGCTTCAGAAAAAAAGCCTCTGAAGCTCTGTTTCTGAGGCTTTTTTTCTGAAGCTCTGTTTGGAGGCATTTTTTCTGAAGCTCTGTTTCTGGTGCTTTTTTCAGCCTCAAAAACCTCCGTTTGAGAAGCTGGGTGGGGCTACATTTGGAGTATAAGACGCACCCAGATTTTCACTTTCTTTTTTTGGGGAAAAAGGTGCATTTTATACTCCGAAAAAAACGGTATCTGGGGCTCCAGGTCTTTTAGGAGGCTGCCTGCTTGATGGCTTCTCCAGAGATTGAATGAAGACTCTCTTAAGTACCCTACAGAGGTACTCTTGCTGGGGCTTCATAGGAGATCTTTCTTCCCTACCCTTTGAGTTCTGTATCTGCAATCTGGTCAGGATTATGTACATGCGTGTGGCTCAAAGTATTTGTCTTTCCCAGCCAGTAGGGTTTGTTACTTTCGACAGCCGTTCTGGTGCAGAAGCTGCAAAGAATGCGTTGAATGTGAGTATGTACACTCTTGTTGCATTCGGTGCTCACTAAACGTCAGAGCTTTGTTAATTGCTTTTGGCCCCCAGTTCAACGCAGAGGGCAAAGCTACCATATGTTTTCTGCTCATATCTTAGTTACCCTGACTGATAGGGAGATCTCTCTTTCCTGCTACTTAATGGATGTGTGTCATAAACACAGGACAATAAGAACTGATAAGAACTGGCCAGAACCACACACCTTGACTACAAATGTCAGATAGGGGTAAATGGGAAGGTTATACTAAATATTTTCATTTACTCCTAAACTAAAAATATGGCAAAACAGTGTTGTAAATGATTTTAATAAATCAGTATCTGTTACAGAAGTGTTTCTCATCCTTGGTGACCAGCTCCCATAATTCAGCTTCAGACAGCCACGGGGAATTCCAAGGTTGAGCAATACACCACATTATAGGAAAATTAAGATGAGCTTAAGATAAGATGGAATTTGGTGCAGCAGTGATAATACATCACCTCGGAGATTGTATATCCAGTCAAACGCTCTGCAGCTTTTCACATGAATATCATTAATTAAACAGATGATACAAGGGAAGGGGTGTAACAAGATGAGTGGCAAACAAATGTAATCAATAATAAATAAATCTTAATTGCCCATTACCTGGAAGGCAAGGTTGCTTCTCCATAAGCATATTTGCATCCCTAAATTGAAATGGGCAGACAGTGCCTTGGTAGTACAGGGGTTTAAGGCACCCTGTTATTAAGCTTATTAAGACCAGCTGCCTGCAATTACTGCAGGGTTCGAATCTCGCCAAGGCTCAAGGTTGACTCAGCCTTCCATCCTTTCTAAGGTAGGTGAAATGAGGACCCAGTTTGTGGGGGCAATAAGCTGACTTTGTATAAATATACAAAAAGGATGAAGGCTATTGCTGAGCACATTGTAAGCCGCCCTGAGTCGGCGGCATATAAATCAAATAAAAAAAAAAAAAAGTGTGGAAAGTGGAGGGTGAGCCCCATATAAGTTAAATATTTTGACCAAGGCAGGCACATTCAAGTGATGCCCCTGAGTGGGCGGGTCTGGATTTTTGCTTTTGGGGGATGGGTGGTGTCTAGAGCCTTAATCGATTTTTAAGACAAAAAAGGAAGGGGAAAAAAACCAGAATTCTGAGCAATTCTAAGAAAGTCTCAATTTCATCCAGGCTTTGCAAGCAATGATTCTGTTGCTGGTTTTCTTTTTTTTTTAATTGCTTATACTGTTATCCCTTTAATCGCTCACCAGTGTGTGTGTGTGTGTGTGTGTGTGTGTGTGTGTGTGTGTGTATTTTCTGAGGTTTTTGCGGGTGTTTGTATGTAGGTCTTTGGTTATTCGGGTTTTCTCCCACGTAAAATTGGAGGTGTCTTGGCACCGTTTCGACGAAGTCTCATTCGTCATCTTCAGGCTGGTGTTTTCAGCTTCATGCTTCTAGGAGCAATGCTCCTAGAAGCTTCATGCTTCGACCATTGCTCCTAGAAGCACGAAGCCGAAAACACCAGCCTAAAGATGACGAATGAGACTTCGTCGAAACGGTGCCAAGACACCTCCAATTTTACGCGGGAGAAAACCTGAATAACCAAAGACCTACATATATATATAGATATATATACACATTTTTAAGACTTATATCAGGTGGAATTTGTTTCAGGGAAATATAATCTTAGGAAGTCTTAAGGAACTTAAATCAAGTTTGTGTCTTCCGTAGGTAGGGTATCTGCACATTTATATGAGCCCCAGTCTTCAGCCAATTGGTTTTGGATGAGCAAATGCAGGGGTTTTTTTCCTACTCTCGTAACCCTTCTCCTTCTCTCCACCTCCTGCAGGGGATCCGCTTCGACCCAGAGAATCCCCAGACGCTGCGGTTAGAGTTTGCCAAGGCCAATACCAAGATGGCAAAGAGCAAGCTGATGGCCACACCAAACCCCACCAACCTCCACCCTGCCCTAGGCGCACACTTCATTGCACGAGATCCTTGTGAGGAGCAAAGGGGGGGAAGTCAATAAGCAAGGAGGGGGGGGAGACGTTGGGGTTGGGGGTCTCTGGGAAGGCATGTGAAGGTGTCAGTGTGCACATTCCTAGTGGGTCTCCCATGAATGAGAGTCTCAAGTCAGGGGTGAAATCCAGCAGGTTCTGACAGGTTCTGGAGAACCGGTAGCGGAAATTTTGAGTAGTTCGGAAAACCGGCAAATACCACCTCTGGCTGGCCCCAGAGTGGGGTGGGAATGGGGATTTTGCAATATCCTTCCCCCAAGGTTGGGGAGGGAATGGGGATGTTGCAGAATCCTTCCCCCAGGAGTGGGGTGGAAATGGGGATTTTACAATATCCTTCCCCCAGAAGTGGAGTGGAAATGGGGATTTTACAGTATCCTTCCCCTGCCACACCTACCAAACCACACCACGCCCATCAAGCCACGCTCACAGAACCGGTAGTAAAAAAATTTGAATTCCACCACTGTCTCAAGTCATCCAGATCATGGTTGTCCCAAAGATGCTTTTTCAAGAGGCAACTAGATTTTCTTGGGGGGGTGTTTTCCCCCTTGAAAACATTTCGCTTCTCCTCCAAGAAGCTTCTACCCTTCTGACTGTGTTCTGACCATTCAGTTAGAACTGAAGAAGCATCTTGGAGGAGAAACGAAATGTTTTCAAAGGGAAAAAAACCCCAAGAAAGTCCAGTGGCCTTTTGAAAAGCACCTTTGGATCCCACTGTGATGTTTTTGGATTATTTTTTCACATGCACGAGACACCCCTAAATTCGCCCCTAAACTCTAGCACCCCACCGCATCTCTGGATTTTGCCAAATGCTATCGTTCTGTCCAAAAAGAGTTTAATGCTTTTGGGTTCATCGTCCCTCTGGTGACATCACAAGCTAAACTCCCCTATAGCTCTCAAAAGACCAAGATAGGACTTCAAAAATGTGACACTGGGCTCAAAAGCTTTCTCTCCCAACTATGAGGTGGTCTTTCCTCTACCTATCTTCCTTCTCGCCCCCTCTGCACACCTGTAAGAGACTCCATGCTTTCCTCCTTCCCGATGGGCGAATTTGCTGACCTTCTGCTACTTCTCCTCTTCTAGATGATCTGACTGGAGCTGCCCTGATTCCAGCCTCTCCAGAAGCATGGGCTCCCTACCCCCTGTACACCACGGAGCTAACCCCTGCCATTCCACATGCAGCTTTCACCTATCCAGCTGCTGCCGCTGCTGCCGCTGCTCTTCACGCTCAGGTGAGCCCACAATTGAAAGTTGTTGTTTCTTCCTTTGGGTGTGAAGCCTCCTCTCGCACGGGACAGGACATCTCTGTTTTCAAGACTTTTATTTCGTGCAGAGGGTGGAGAATTTCAGCGAGTGGGTGGAGAAGTTGATGAACCAAAAGATTCTTCCCCTCTTAACCAAAAATAGCCTGCGTCCTCAGGGAGAAAGCTTCTATCCTCCAAATATTTATTTATTTATTTATTTATTTATTTATTTATTTATTTATTTATTTATTTATTTATTTATTTATATTTGTATACTGCCCTACTCCCGGAGGACTCAGGGTGGTGAACAGCCAAGATAAAAATACAAATAACATACAAAAGTTAAAAGCTATTAAAAATAGATTAAATAATTTGGGCTCAAAAAACAAATTTAAATCTGCCTTCAGTTTGAGAAAAAAACAGTGGGCTGCCATTCCCCTCTGCTCAGTGGTGGGATTCTGCCGATTTAACAACCGGTTCGGTGATTGTGCGATTTGCACTCGCGCGTCTGCATGCACAGTTTGAAGAAATCTTCACTTTCTGATTTCTTCAGAGGAGTAACACAGCTGATTTGTGCCACAATCTGCTCTACCGCATGAATCAGCTGAGAAGATAAAGGTAGGGAAATAGTGTGGGCAAGCGGGTGGACCAATCTGATTGCTGGGATGAACCGGTTCGCTCCCAGTTGATTGTCGGAGCTACAGGTTCACCCGAACCGGCCTGAACCAGTAGAATCCCACCCCTGCCTTAGCTTCTCAAGCAGGTTTGTTAGAGGAAATTAATTAAGCAGACCTCCAAGGCAGGGATGTCCAACCTTTGGCGACTTTAAGACTTGCGGACTTCAACTCCCAGAATTCACCCAGCCACCTACGCTATCCTGGCTAGGGAATTCTGGCAGTTGAAGTCCAACAGGTCTTAAAAATTACCAAGGTTGGACCAAGGGAATCCAAGCACTTAAAAGAACACTAGCTCCAAATGAACTGCCCTATTCCAGCAAGCACGGAGGAATCGGCCTCTCGAGAAACAAAGATTAACTTTTTTCAACTTCTCAGATTGTACAAGGATGGGTAGTTTGATCCTGTCCCAAATAGCCATGGATGGGAAAGTCAACGCCTATTTTACCTCTTCTGGGGGGCGGCGAAAGGAATTGACCGTCTCGCGTTCAAAGGAAGAGAAGTCAGGGAGGTGACCCACAGTTGGAGAGATGGATAAGAAGGAGACAGTCATGTTCCATTTCTGGACATTGTCCGATCCGAGGAGCTCCCTATGGGGAGATTAAAAGGCCTGTTTCCATCTGGCAAAGCATGGTATGAAGTCAGCTTGAACTTCGTCCCTGCAAAAGCCATTTAAACTACTGTTAATTTTGGTTCTGCTGCCAATACAAGAAAGCCTGCTCAATACAAGAAAGCCTGACCCCTTTCTCCTCCGTCAGAGGAATTAAGGATAGAGTGCTCTGCAGATGTTTTAAGGAGGGAAGAACATCATTTAGCATGGTGACCAAGCCATAAGAATGTATACAAACAAGGGTAAAATAGATAAAACGCACACTAAGGTCCAAAGGAGGGAATAAACTGTTTTTACACATTATAATTTCTCTCTCTCTCTCTCTCTCTCTCTCATTCCATGGAGTCAAAGTTATCCCTTAAGGGGAATTTTAGTAAATCCACATTCATTTCCTGATTGCAATTTTTTTTTTATTAGAAGCTTCACCTCAAAAAGGCTCTCTAAGCTACATGTGTGGGTGTACGTACAAGCACATGGATGCCATTACAAACAAACGCTTGTTTTAGGATTAGAATCTAAAAAAACAAAACAGATAAAAGATGGGAAAGGAGCTTTTTTTTTAAAAAAAAAAAAAGCTCCACTTTTTCAAAAGAGTTTGGAGAACGATCTTGCTTCCATTCGCTTAACAAAGGAACTTTGGACAAACATCATTTCTGACAAATCACTCCGTTTCCGCTTTTATATGCTCACATCTCCCTGGCCCGCTGTTTAGAGAATGCAGAACACTTCTACAGAAATAATGCAGAGTTTATAGTAACTCTTGGCTAAACAGGTTGCAAAGGACGAGCTTTGCAGACCGAGGGTGCAAAATTTAAAGATTTAGCCTCGGAAAAGTGCCATGCCAATTATAAGACCATCGGCAGGTCCTGTGTTCTTATAATTTGGACAACGGGGGACAGAGGCCTGCGATTATTTCTTCTCGCCCCTTAGAAAGAAGCTTTCTCTAGGCTGAAGTCTGCAGGTTTGTCCTTTAAAGCAAAACAAATGTGTTACTCATAAAAGCCTTTTCAGTTAAACATTACTTCACTCTCCTTACTAAGCAACAGGTAACTCAGAGCTCCACCCACCGCACGGGCTGAAATTCTGGTGTCTTCATGAAATAATGGGAAGAATTGTTTTCTCAATTTTTCGATAGGAGTATAATGGTTTGCTTAACCCCTTGGCCTACGTGTTTAATCAATCAAAGTGTTCTGTTTCATTGCTGCTTGGTATAGTGAACGGGGAGGTTATTTATGGGTCAAAAGTCCAAGGAAATGAAATGGACAATTCTTACGTGCAAATTCTTGGCCATCCTTAAAGACTCTAAGTGATGCCTTAGGGGGATCAAACTTCTATGATTTGACCCAGCCATCATCTCTATAGACTCGTTTGACACCCTGATCTTTCAATTATTGTGTATTTTTTAAAATTGCTCCATAGTAAATCTTAACCAACCTGTGTCTAGACTCACTAAGCCATGATTTGTTTTAACTCGTCTGAAAAAGCTTGGTGATGATGTTCACAAATACTATCAGCTCAGAACAAGCCATGCTCAGTGTAAATGTATGAATCACCCAGTGGATGGGTTGCACACAATGGACTATAATCTTCCCTAGTCCCTGGTAGCCTCCAGATGTTTAGAATGAGAAGAGACTGGGCTATGGATGATGAGAATTGAAGGGCGATGCATCTGAAGGACAACAGGTTGGTTGAAGAACAAGCATCTTCAGAGGAGGTTCAGTTAGTTAGACCATCTACGGTACTGATGCTTTTCCTCTATTGAAAACAAGTACCCCAGTTTCAATGATCTGAGAAGTGTTTGGGCAAGGAAGGTCCACGGGTCCCTAAGGAAGAGAAGCTCCCAAGGATGGAGAGATTCCATCAACCTTGTTCTAATGAACTGATGGACACTGAAAATTCATAACCTCTGTTGCCTCTCAGGGCCGGTTCCCCCACCCCTGACCTCACCCAAGAAATGTCCTCTACCCAGTGGCCTCTACTACCCATCAAACAAGCCTCCTGTCCCCTCCCGAGGGGCTCCCACAATGGCCAGCTATTGGTTGAAATGACCCCTCCTTTGATGTCTTCAGTGACCTGCAGCCAGGATGCCTACGCAGGCTAGCCCTGAAGCTCAGAGCTGGCCTTGGAAAGCTGGGACCTCAAAGTCCTGACTAACCCCTGCTAGAATGGAGTAGTTGATTCCCAGAGGCCTCTCAAGATGGGCCCATCTGGAACAGGCTGGTAAGACGAAAATATCTCTCTGCCATTTGGGGCACAGTGGGTTGTTTTGTTCTTTTTTTTTTTTCAACTTTCCACAAGCTTTTATTTTGTTTTTGCCCCTTCTGTTCCTTAGCAACCCAATGCATGGGCCTCCACGCTATTCACCCACCCAAAGCCCAAGCGACATGAAAAAAAAACCAGGCATTTCTCTAACCCACCTCTGGCCAACTTGGCGCATATGATACGGGCACCACAGCATGGCACTTCTTGGGCTCCCCATGGAGCACCGATGGGTTTATCCCACCCGGGGGGAGGAAAGGAAACCCATCGTGAAGGTTTCCTGTCACCTGGTGGTGTCGGGGGTGGGTGGGAGTGCCTCCCGACCACCTTGTTTCACTCACCACACTCACCTGCTGGGGAGGGAGGGTGTAGTAGTAGCAGTAGTAGCAGCAACAACAACAGCACACAACGAATTTATTTTTTTTCCACACAGTCAACTGGCACATATCAGTCACGCTATGGACTCCGCCGGGGGGGGGAAACCCCTCCCTTGGCTGGGATCTGGGGGGGGGGGGAAATCTCCTTTCACACACTTCCCCTCCCTCTCTCTCTCTCTCCCCTCCTTCCAAAATGAGTAAAATTCTGACTTTGACGTGATGATACCGGAAAAGGAAATGTAAACAATCTGGGACACAATGTGTGTGTTAAGGGACCGTGGAAGAAGTAATGATTGGAAAGGGGGTAAGCGGTAACCATATTTAAATCTGAGAGTGGCCTGACTGAGCAGCAGAATTTTACATCTGTAGTGGAAACGGCAAACGTCGGCCTTAAGGTGAGGCATCCTCTCTTACCTGGAGGGGAATGCCTCTTCTAAGGCAGGGATGGAGATGGGTTTGTAAAACAAGATGCTTTTTGCTTTAGACCGGATTACTTGGTGTGCAGAGGTAAGAAATGGACTAAAAAAAGCATTGCACGGTGGGTTGAATTATTGAATTATTGTTGTGTATTTAAAAGCTGTTGGGGGAGAAGCTTCATTGGAGGAAGTGGGCTGGCATCAAGCAGCCGTTTGAAGGCATTTCAGCTCCCAAAGGTGCTTTTTTTTCCAAGAGTCAACTGAACTTCCTTTGTTTTTCCTTGAAGATGTTTTGCTTCTCATCCAAGAAGCTTCTTCAGTTCTGACCGAATGGAAGGATTTCGTCATTCAGTCAGAACTGAAGAAGCTTCTTGGATGAGAAGCAAAACATCTTCAAGGAAAAACAAAGGAAGTCCAGTTGCCTCTTGAAAAAGCACCTTTGCTCCACAGACATTTGTGTTCCCAGGTGCTTCCTTTGAATGCCACCACAGCACTCAAGAGCAGCATACCGGTTGGCCAGGCAGATCCTTCTCTCCTTCAGCTGCCGAGGCCGAATGGCCAAAACTGATTCCAGATGTGCGGGGGAGATGGATTTAGGAATCCGGGAAGTGCTTTTGAGCTACGGCTGGGAGGAGCCGATGTGAAACCATAATATGTGGATGGCTATCAAATGGACTGCTCTTCAACTTTGCAAGATTGTTGATGATCGGAAAAAAAGAGATTGGCAAATAGGTGAAAAAATGATGCCAGCAGATTATCATGAAAGTTCCTGGGCCTTCTGAACCAGAAGGTGCTTCTCGGGATCCAAAAAGGATCCCTGGAAACGGTTTGAAAAGTACCAAGTGTTGATCACAAACTTGATTAATAACATCTCCCTCCCCCCCCCTTTTTTTTTAGAAGAACTAGAGCGTGGGTGGCTACGATTCTCCTGGCAATTTAGAATAGGAGATTATAAAGTTCCTATATGTGTTACATGCTCAAACTAAAGTTCATTTAGGGTTGTCTTTTAACAACTATGAAGAGCTATGAAAAACAAGTTGAGGATAGGCCATTTCCTCAAACCCCAATCTAAACTAACAACAGTGTTCCCTTCTTAAGTCAGTAAGAACTGAATTAAAAATGGAAGCAAATGTAATCTAATTCAACTAGAATTCCCAAATTCTGCAAAACAGACTTGAGATGTTGGAATAATGCTTTTGTCCTAATGAAGGATATGAGTGCTGAGTTATTTATTTTCTTGGAGCGGATTGGATGGAATCTAGTTCCTCTTTTAACCCCCTGGCTCTGGATAATCCTGGTCACCTTTTTAATTGGGGAAGGGAATCAAAGCTTCTAATCGGCACTTTCTACCCAAATGTAGAATAAGGAGAGGAGGCAGACTTAGCGACACGAACTCCAAAACTCTGAAGATCTTCCATAAGGAGCCCTAAGGTTGAAAGGATTTTATGTTCCAGCAAGATAGACTTTTGGTTGAACTTTAGGAGAAACTTTTACACAGTGGAACAAGTCAAGGATGGGACCAGTTGCTTGGAAACTGATGGGCTTGGAGCTCTTTGAACGTAGTCCAGGCAGCCTGTGGGGGAAGCTTTGATCTTCCTCTAGGAAGCAAAGCATTCAGATAGGCAGCCTGCAAAGATTTTGCAGCTGTGAGACCGATATTGTGTTATTGAGCAAACCATGTTGGCTGGGCTTAAGCAGAGAACAGAAGATGACAAAGAAAGTGTTGTCATTTTAGCCTTTCTATTATATGTGTTAATTTTTTTTTCTCCCCAAAACTCAGAAAAATGCAAAGGCTATCGGCCCTATGATTATGAACCGATAATTATGGGCTAGAGGAAAAATAAAGATCAGCTGTGCACAAGGAGCATTTGCTAGCAGAAGCACAGATACAGATGTTTGAAAGGGTGTTCACCCCCCCCCCCCAAAAAATAACTCTGAAAACAAATAATAGCAACGTTGTGCAAAGAATTGGGAGAGAAAGGAGATTCAAGGATATGATAATAAGGATTTTTTTTTTCTTTTAAATCATCTTTTCTTTGTGTCTGGAATAGAATGTGAGAAGGCTTTGAAAGGCAGGTGAAGAAATGCTGCCTAAGGAACGGTCTGATAAGAGACAGCGTAGCCCTCAACTGGATAATGGGTGGAAAAAGAGACTGAGAAGAAGCTCACCCTAGCTTCTCAGTTTGTAAAGGAGACAGTCAGAAATTTGTACTTTCAGACCTGCAAGATTCTTTTATTGTAGCCTTACAATGAAGTGAGATTAGCTCATTTGGTTGTGTTTCCTGTCTGGTCTACCTAGGAAAGCTGAGTTTACCTGACAGGGCTTTTACTTAGGCCCAAGTGACATGAAAGTGGCCAGCCAATCACACTCACTGGATCCTTCTGAAGGACCACTTAAAACTCAAATTCTTGCTTGCTAGACTGGTGATCCTGCTGCATTAGTTTCTTATTACCCAGCTCTTTCTTTCACAGCGCGCAGGACTCAAACGTGTTTTCCTGCAGATGGGCTTATGAAGAATGGGTGGGATTTAGGCCTGGTGTGCTTAAAGCTAGGAGGAGGCGGTGCAGAAAAAGAGAGTTGGTACTTGAATAGCCTACATGTGGAATAATGGGGGTGATAGGAGTATGAATTGGATGTATTAAGAGGAGCTGGGAGTAGAAGACTAGATCAGGGATCTCCAACCTTGGCAACTTTAAGACTTGTGGATTGGCTGAGGAACTCTGGGAGTTGAAGTCCACAAGTCTTAAAGTTGCCAAGGTTGGAGACCCCTGGACTAGACAACCTTGAATGACACTGGGTGACCTAGTGTGATACAGCTGCCATGTTTTCAACTTTGGAATCGCCTCAAAGGTGATTTCAAGGCCTCAAAAATGTTCTCCTTAGAGCTAGTCTACCCTTTGAGGTGTGAAGAAATTTTCTTACGAGATTTAAGGAACAACGAGAGCTTCTGCAGTCTGAAAGAACTATTGGTACTGTGAAAGCAACGTAAGCAACGAGCTGATATTTTTCTTTGGGAGAACCTTGATCACCATTGAGCCTTGGGGACAGATGTATCCTAGGCAGAGTGTTTCTGCCTACTCCTGGTTGACCACCTTACTCCTCCCACTTCACACGCTCCTTATCGTTCTCTTCTAGATGCGCTGGTACCCTCCTTCTGACGCTACCCAACAAGGATGGAAGTCCCGGCAGTTCTGTTAGTTTTAGTGAGTATCGGGTTGCAACGCCTAGAGGAGTAGTCCTGGGTGTGGGTGGAGAAGACATGATCTTCTCTAGTGGGGTTGGTTCTTTTCAGCCAGTGAAAGTTGAGTATGCCCTCTGGCTAGACAATGGCCTGGGAAAACGGGTGGCAAATGCTTTCCTCCATGCATGCTGGTGGGCAGTGGTGGGATTCAGCCAGTTCGCACCACTTCGGGAAAACCGGTTGTTAACTTTCTGAGCAGTTTGGCAAACTGGTTGTTGGAAGAATCATTAGGGCAGAGAACCGGTTGTTAAATTACTTGAATCCCACCACTGCTGGTGGGGCTATGATGAAAGACGTCTAGGAGTTTAGCCTTCATAATATGTTCTCTTGCTTTTTTCCAAGAGCTGCTTTTGGCCCACATTTCCCCCTCTTGTCTCTCCATGGACTGATGCATGAAGGATGAAGGAGTCTTTGGGAACCTCCTCTCTCGGCCTTTTCCCCTGGACACCATCCAAGGGCCCAACTTCACTTTGGCCGTATTATGAATGAAGCTATGGATTCCCCCCCTCCTAAACTCTGAACGTCCATCTCCTCCGTCTCTTCCCCCAGGGGCCATGCTCGCCCTTCTCCCAAACTCTCTCTCCCTTCCCCTCAATCTTGCTAAGCCCTGCCACCTTGCTGTTGCCGAGTTTCTCCTCCAGCTACCTTTTGAGTCCTTTCAGGAGACACTCAGCCTTTGTCTTTTGGTGTGGGCGTGCGCGTACGTATATTCCCAGCTGGGATGCTGGCACGCAGTTGTGGCCTAGCTGCGTACAGTGCAATATCCAGACTTTTCTTATCCAGAATATTCAGTTTTTGCTGAAGGAAGCAAAAAAAAAATAAATAAAAATTCAGTTTTGCATGTTTTCTGGCATGACTTAAAAAAAAAACACTTTAACTTGTTGGGTGTGTGAGTGTGCAGAATTCGTTTTTTGGTCTAGCATTTGTGTAACCCTAGCAGTAGATCTTGGACTAACTATTGATCACTAAACCTTTTCTTTTTTTTTTCATCTCGCTTCTGTCAAGACGTGGCTTTTGGAAAAAACAATCACTTTCTGTCTTTTCTCTCTCTCTCTTCTCCTCTTCCTCTTCCTCCAGGGTATCTTTCCCTGTTCAGCCTTGACTAGAATTTGAAATAAAGAAAATTTCTTCTCCAAAGTACAGTGCACTGGGTTTTCCGGTCCATTTTGCCCTTCCCCCAATTTAAGTCAGGGTTGTTGGGTTTTTGTTTATTTTGTTGTTGTTGTTTTTCTGTCCAACTTCTATCTATAGAACAGCTGTAAAATAGTTCACTTTTTTTTCCTTCCACATCCCTCGGATTGGAAAAAAAATCCAGTCTTGCCAAATCAGCAATCCTTATGGGAATACCGAACAAAGATGTACGAGTATTTTTGTACCATGTGTAATGAGGAAATATTTATGCATCATGCAAAGATTTTGTGTGGTTTTTGTGCAATTAATTATTAAAGAGTAAAAAAATAATAATAATAATAATTGTAATCTGTAAGATGAGTTTAATGTTCAGTTAAAAGCTTGATGAGAAAGACTTTTTTTCTGTAACTGATTCAGTCAGGCATAGTAACGAGAAATTGCACAATTTTTTTTTTTTTTTTTGTGTTGATATTTTATTGCTTGGTATTTGGAAGTCCTTTAAGTATTACATTCAACCATGGCTGTCTCGCTTGTATCAAGATTGTTGAATAAGTTGCTATATCCTTTGAGAATGTGAAACTGGATAATATATGAATTGTACTCAGTGGTGTCTTGGTAGATTCTTTGATGTGTGGAAGTGGTTGTGGTTTTTTTTCCCCCGTTCTTTGCTCACAGAGTGCATTGGTTGACCTTACCTGGAAAAATGAGGTGGGGGGAAGTGGGCTGCATTGGTCTACGGTTGAACGTGCATCTTCAACCAATCCTTAAAATTTGCCCTCTTGGAGGTTATAAATCTGTATGTGAACCCAATACCACCAAAGTGTAAAATGCAAAGTCTCAGAACATTTGGAAAAAAAAACGTCGATGTTAGAAATAGAGAGAATGTTGTTTATTTATTGATTTAGATCCAGTGGTGGGATTCAGCCAGTTCGCACCTATTCGGGAGAACCGGTTGTTAACTTTCTAAGCAGTTCGGAGAACCGGTTGTTGGAAGAAATATTATTTTGTTTTTTTTTCCCACTTTACAGGGCTAATCCTGTAAGGAAGGCAGGAAGGAAACATTCTGGTGCTATTTCTAGCCTAATCTTTATTGCCCTGCTTACAGAAACTGCCTCTCCGGTTAACCCTTATTACATTGTAACAGCTAAGGCGAAGCGCCCATCAATGTGAGTGACATTGAGTTGACTACGCCCACATGGTCACATGACCACCGAGCCATGCCTACCTAGCTGGTCATTAGGGCAGAGAACCGGTTGTTAAATTATTTGAATCCCACCACTGTTTAGATCCCCTCTTTCTAAGTCTTGACTTACCTGAGAAATAGATTAGGGCTGAGACACAATGAATGGGCCAGAATTACCCATCTAAAGGTGATTCTCAATGTGGGTTTCCTTACTCCTAGCCTTAACCACTACACTGCACTGGTTTTAAAGACCTACCAAAAGTCTCACGGAAAGTAGTTCTCTGATGAAATACATTTACTAGTAAAATTAGGAAAGAAATTTTGAGAGAGAGCCATTGTCCCTCAAAAAGCATATAATCAAATTTCAAGTTGGTGGTGTCCACAAAATCATAACTCAAGGTGCCACATCCCATGGTACTCTTCATATCAGATAAGCCACAGGGTTGTTACTTGAACATCTGTTCCTACCAAATTAAAGAAAAAAAAATCAGGTATCAGACATAAAGAACCCTCTACCTCCATTGGGCCAAAGGTAAGTCCTACCTTTAGCACTTCGCAGTTCTATGAAGGCTAAACATTTCAGTGGGGATGAGCTAATCAGCCTAGTACAAGAGGTCCTTGACTTATAACCACAATTGAGCCCAAAATTTCTGTTATGTGAGAGGTTTGTTAAGCGAGTTTTGCCCCGTTTTACGAAATTTCTTGCCGCTGTTAAGTGAATCACTGCGGCTGATAAGCGAGTCACCCGGTTGTTAAGTGAAAACTGGCTTCCCCATGGACTTGGCTTGTCACAAGGTCACAAAAGAGGATCACGTGACCCTGAGACATTGCAACCGTCATAAATAGGAGTCTGTTGCACCTGAATTTTGATCACGTGATGATGGAGATCCTGCAAAGGTCCGTAATTGTGAGAAACGGTTATAAATCACCTTTTTTCAGTGCTGTTGTAACTTTGGTCTCACAACAAACTGTTGTGAGTCAAGGGACTACCTGTACACCTGAAAAAGTGTTGAAAAAAAAATCACGGCATCAAGGGCAGTTGTGAGACTTTCCTTCTACAAACCGACATCAGAATTATCTAAGATTTAAATAAAATGTAGGACTCCGTAAGATATGGCTTACTATGACGAGTTATCCTTTTTTTCTACTTTTTTTGCCTTGGGTGGTAATGATTTAGCCAGTGATGGGTTTCAAATTTTTTTACTACCGGTTCTGTGGGTGTGGCTTGGTGGGCGTGGCATGGCTTGGTGGGCGTGGCAGGGGAAGGATACTGTAAAATCCCCATTTCCTCCCCACTCCAGGGGAAGGATACTGTACAATCTCCATTCCCTCCCCACTCCAAGGGGAAGGTTACTGCAAAATCCCCATTTCCTCCCCACTCCAGGGGAAGGAAACTGTAAAATCCCCATTTCCTCCCACTCCAGGGGAAGGATACTGTACAATCTCCATTCCCTCCCCACTCCAAGGGAAGGTTACTACAAAATCCCCATTCCCTCCCCACTCCAGGGGAAGGTTACTGCAAAATCCCCATTCCCTCCCCACTCCAGGGGAAGGTTACTGCAAAATCCCCATTTCCTCCCCAATCCAGAGGAAGGATACTGTAAAATCTTCATTCCCTTCCCACTCCAGGGGAAGGTTACTGCAAAATCCCCATTTCCTCCCCATCAGCTGGGACTCGGGAGGCAGAGAATAGATGGGGGCGGGGCCAGTCAGAGCTGATATTTACCAGTTCTCCGAACTACTCAAAATTTCCACTATCGGTTCTCCAGAACCGGCCAGAACCTGCTGAAACCCACCTCTGGATTTAGCCCCTTCTATTTTTCTCCTGTTTAGTGTGATATATTTTTTTTTAAGTGGGCCTGTTGTTTCTTTCCTAGTTTCCAGAATATTTTGCCCTGATATACCGTAGATTGCCTTCCCTCTGTGTCTGCTGGGACTTGGACTGTATGGAGGCCCCTGCTCCATTAAACAGGCAAGTTTGACTCGAGTCATCCCAAGCAAGCAATGTTTGATGAATAAATGATAACTTTTAGTCAAGTTGAAACAATTGCTCAGCCAACCGGCATTTTCATGGCTGCAAAGGAAGCTGCTTTATTGCTGCATTCAAGGCCCATCCTAGGTGGTGAACAAAGGGGTGGGGTGCACTGCCGCAGGGAACTTTGCAGTAAATAGCAAAGGAAATTAATATAAAAAAAATTATATTTATAGACTTCCGTAATTATTTTTAGTTCATGTCCATTTGCAGTCCAATAAAAAAAACTCAATACAGGTAATTCTTCAACTTACAACTGGAATTGAGCCTGGAATTCATAATAACAACAGTAACAGTAATGGGGTTGGAAGGGACCTTGGAGGTCATCTAGTCCAACCCCTTGCTCACGCAGGAGACCTATACTAGGGATTCGAACTGCCGACCTTTCTGATCGATAAGTTCAGCGTCTTAGAATTATGGCCGTAGGTCATTGCAGTCGCAAGTCGAGGCATCATGTGACTGAATTTCAAGTTATAAAGTGGGTTTTTTGGTGATTGTGAAGTAGATCCATTTTCCTCAATGGACCTTTTTTTTCCTGGAAACGGGGAGTACAAGCTGGAAACTGACAAAATAAATAAATAAATAAATAGAAAATTGAAGTCACGTGACCACAGGATGTGGCAAACAGCTGTGAAGGTGAGCTGGATTGCCAGGCACCCAAAATATGATCACATGACCACGGGATGGTATTCAGCCGCCGTAACTTCATAACCAGGTCATGACTGGCTCGAGGGAGATCCGTTGTAACTTTGAATGGTCGTTAAACAACATTTGTAAGCTGAGGACAACCTGTAAAATTAATTCAACCAAAATAAGGAAGAAACATCAACCCAACGGGGCTCTGGTGACAACCTCAATAATAGCCACAATTTAGTGTCAACAGCACCCTACCAAAGAGTTTTCTCTTCACAAACTTATAGGGGGCTTCAAAGCAGTGATGGAATTCAAATTTTTTTACTACCGGTTCTGTGGGCGTGGCTTGGTGGGCATGGTATGGCTTGGTGGGCGTGGCAGGGGAAGGATACTGCAAAATCTCCATTCCCACCAGAAGTGGTATTTGCTGGTTCTCCGAACTACTCAAAATTTCTGCTACCGGTTCTCCAGAACCTGTCAGAACCTGCTGGATTTCACCCCTGGTTCAAAGGCCACGAACCACCTGATGAGTTTTCAAATGCCGCTCTCCTTTTTCAGCTTGACTTGGGCTGCTTTATGTTTTTACTGTTCGTGCTCTCCTTATCGGTCGTAGCTTGCATTTCCACATGGTAAACCACAACGGTTAATTTGGGTTTTCATGTCATCTGGGCCCCAAGTGTGTGAACCCATCAAGAGCTGGAGGCTAGCCTGGAGGCTGTCCACGGAACATGGAGTGGCTTCCCCCAAGTCCCAAATGAAGGTGGTTTCCCCAAATTTAAAGTGGCATCCACTCCGGACGACATGCTACCGTAATTTTTGGAATATAAGATGCACTTTTCCCCACCCTAAAAGAGGGTGGAAATGTTGGTGCGTCTTATACACCAAATACAGCCATTTTCGGCCCCTGGAAGCCCCGCCCCGCTTGTCCTATTTTTGTGAAAAATGGACCCGTTTTTCCAGGGAGGGCAAAACCTTTTTTTTCTTACTTACCTCTTCAAAATCTTAGTGCGTCTTATACACCGGTGCGCCTTATAGTCCGAAAAATACGGTAAATCTTAGATGGGTGCCCTTCTGTACTTCTCAGAGCCATGCAGGGCAGAAAACTGCTCTCGCTAACCTGTTCCTGTAACTTAGCTTGTTGTGGGAAGAAGGGACAATAAGCTTCCTTTAGAAGGGACCCCGTGGCACTAAATTCACTCTTTGAAGTGGTGGCCTCCAACTGCTTCTTCTCTTAGTACTTTTGAGTGTTGACCGCAGGAACAAGAGAGAAGACGGAGCAAGGCATTGTTCCAAAGGCAGCAATTGGAACCAAAAGCTTGAGTTATCTTTCAAAACTCAAATAGGAAGAAGTGATCCGAAGTCTATATACCAGCAAAAAGGAACTGCTTCTGTATCTCATCATCTAGGGTTTTTCATGACCTTGAAGAGATGTTGGAATCAAAAGAAATCCTCGAGGGATAACACCTTTTAACATTTACCCACTGCATTTATCGTCAGAGTGACTGAGTCATGCACACTATGCTCAAAATCCAAACCAAACTCGATGGCAGTTTAGTATGCTGAGCCAAGGGATGTGTAGAAGTAGGGACAACCATAAAAAAAGATGACTACCATAACAACACAAAGATGATTGTTCCACCATTACGGTAAATAAAAAGATTCTGAAGAAGTCAATTCAACTTTGAGTTGCTTTTCTTGAGGAACATTTTCACACGTACTTTCACACTTGACTGTGTTACTGGTCTGTTTTGTATATTGTTATCTACACTAATTAATAAGCAGGTTTCTTCTTGAGAATATTTCTCCAGCCCTTTGCTGAGTATTCTGACAATTGCCTTATAATTTTCAATCCTTTCCCAAATAAGAGGCAACCTACTGTGGGTAAAAACCATCGATCCAGCTTGCATGAGTAGTTATCACTTGCTATCTAATCATCTTCACTGGAAGTCCTTTTTGTATGTAAAGCTCAAGCTTTGCCATTAAGCTCTCGTTTCTTCTCTTTAGAATTGGGGTGTCCAACCTTGGCAACTGTAAGACCTGTGGACTTCAACTCCCAGAATTCCCCAGCTTGCCATGCTGATCTCAGGAATTCTGGGAGTTGAAGTCCACAGATCTTGAAGGGGCCATCGTTGGCCACAAGTCTTAAAAGTTGCCAAAAGTTGGACACCTGTGCTTTAGAACATCTCCTTCCTGCTGCCAAGCCACCACCTTTCAGTGTTTGAGCTTCCTGCTTCTTTGTTGGCGCCTGTTTAGGCTCCACATTGATTTTGGTTGAGCCATTCCCACCTCGCTGTCTTGTCAAACCAGCCATGTTCTGGCAGTTCTGCTCACCTAGGCATAAATGGCCCCCAAGGAGCACTAGAGTCAAGTGTGGGACCACCATGCTTTCTGAATTATAGAGGAGATTCTTTTAATCCTGCATTAACACGGACTGACCATAAATAATTCAGCCCCCCTGTGCTTGCATAGAGTTCTTGCATATGTGTGCTGCATACGTATCCCACATTGTCAAAGTAGGTCATAGCAGCAATAGCTGTCCTAGAAAAGATGCACTTTTCCTTCTGAATTTATAACCAGGCGCACATACAGCAGGCTAAACAGGAACAAACCCTATCCTGAATTTGGATAGTGTAACCAGCATCCTACAAGACGAGAACAGCTAGATTGTGCAACGTGTGGTCTTTGCAGCTCAATCAGAATAGAACTGGAAGGGACCTTGGAGGTCTTCTAGTCCAACCCCCTGCTCAACCGGAGACTCTATACCATTTCAGACAAATGGCTGTCCAGTCTCTTCTTAAAAACCTCCAGTGATGAAGTCCCACAACGTCTGAAGGGAAGCTGTTCCATTGATGAATTGTTCTCACTGTTGGGAAGTTTCTCCCTAATTCCAGGTTGCTTCTCTCCTCTATTAGTTTCCATCTATTGTTTCTTGTCCTGCCCTCTGGTACTTTGGAAAATAAGTTGACCCTTTCTTCTTTGTGGTAACCTCTCAAATACTGGAATACTGCTATCATGTCACCCCAAGTCCTCCTTTTCTGATGTGTTCTCTGACATCGTCCATGCTGGAATTGCAATTTAGCATCAGACAGGTAGAGTTTCCTCATTCCTGTGTAATATTTTAGCTCTGGTTATGTCTAAAAGCACAATGAAAGCCGGAGCATTTCTCTTTGACGTCACCAAGCCATGGTTTGCTCAACTAGACCACGGCGGGTTGGAGTAGCACAACACAGAACTAAAATTAAGCCAAATACTTAAAATGTTTTTTGTGGGTTGCACAAACCTGGCCTATGTAACCCTAGGCTACGATTGCTTCCAAGAAGTTTTAACTCTCATTTCCAGCCTCAGAAAACCATGGTCTGCTGTGTTCTCTTACTCCATTCCTCACAATCAAAACTTTTGCTTCATCTTCAAAGCAAAACCATCAATCTTTCAACATAGATGACTGGCAGAAGCTCTTAAGGATTCACACACAAGGCCAAGATGCCCCACATAGATTTGGACAAGGAAACTTCAGGAAGCTGAGCAATCTTTTTGTGCTTTTTCCCCTCCTCTATAAACTGGTTTTTGGAACAAAATTCTAAGCTTGGCTGTGGTGCCATCTAGAGGTGTATATTTCCTTTCTTTGGGTTCCTAACATAGATTCTGACATAGTTTTGCTCTGCCATTAAATAGAGATGAGACCTGGCATTAAATGGGCCATTTTTCAACAAAGAATGTCAGGTGCATGGCATGAAGGAAGCTGTTGCGTGCAAGAAATCTTTAGCTCCTTCCTCTCTTTGTTCCCATTTAATTCTCTAGGGCAGTGCTGGCGAACCTTTTCGGCACAAGTGCCTAAATGGGGCTGTGTGCGTGCCGGAAACCGGAAGAGCAGCCACTCAGTGCGCATGCGTGCACCAGAAAGATGATCTTCAGTTTCTGGCACACGCATGTGCACCAGCCATCTAGTCTTCCAGTTTCTGGCACACATGCGCGTGCGAAGACCAGCTGGGCGGTACGCATGCACACACTGGAAACCGGAAGATCATCTTCCCGGCGTGCACATATGCACTGGTGGCTGCTCTTCCGGTTTTGGGCACTCTCACCAGAGGTAGGTTTCAGCAGGTTCTGACCAGTTCTGGAGAACCGGTAGCAGAAATTTTGAGTAGTCCGGAGAACCTGTAGTAAAAAGTCGTGACTGGCCCTGCCCCCATCTATTCTCTGCCTCCTGAGTCCCAAGCCACGCCCACCAAGCCATGCCCACAGAACCGGTAGTAAAAAAATTTGAAACCCACCACTGGCTCCCACGTATGTGAAGACCAACTGGCCCGTATGCCAGAACCCGGAAGAGCAACGGGCGATGGCTTATGTGCCCCGAGAGATGGGTCTGCATGCGGCTTCTGGCACGCGTGCCACAGATTTGCCATCACAGCTCTAGGGCAATGTTTCTCAACCTTAGCAACATGAAGATGGGTGGATTTCAATTCCCAGAATTCCCCAGCCAGCATGGGAATTGAAGTCCACGTTATCTTCGAATGGTTGAGATTGAGACACGTTTTCAGAAGTGTGGACTTCAACTCCCAGAATTCCCCAGCCGCAGCTCCCTTGGAGACATCGAAGTCCGCCATTTTCCTCACCTTGGTAGGAAACTGTTACAACTCTTAGGAATAAACCTATTCTCCAAACACCTCAAATCTTTCTGGAAAAGTTTAATGCTAAATATTGTGTTTAGAAAATAGACACAACCCCCTCACCTTTGTTGAGATGTTTGAAGCATTTTTTTTTTTTGGTTTAGTTGGCTTTACCAGGACACATCTGTCTGGTGCAATTTACCAAATATCTTTTATTACTGTTGTTGTCAACAGATGCTTTGCTTTCATTTGGAAGACGAGACACACAAATCAAGAGTTTTCACTATGGAGAGGTTATAAGAAATTATCCATCTAACATAGATTTTCATTGTACTTTATGAGAGATTCTGATTATGGCGATTTTTTTGTCAGACTTCTTATCTCCTGGCCTTCATATGAAACAAAGAACTTCCATCATCTTCAGAGAACTGGTTGACTGACACTAGCCTAGGAAAACATTGGTGTGACCTCTATATAAATCCCATATCATACTTAATATCTCAGCACTTAAATCATACTAGTTGTGCTGCATGGCATTTATATACGTGCCACTTATGGATATTCATCTCGGATATAAAATGCCTATGATCTGGCATTTATAAGAATTAACAATTCTTAGATTTTGATGTAAGTTTTTAAAGACAAAAAAATCAGTCAGAAAAAGTGCTACTAGACTCCTCTTGTCCCAAAGGTGCTTTTTCAAAAGGCAACTGGGCTTAGTCTTTCCTTAAAAGATCTTTCGGTTCTCATCCAAGAAGCTGAACGGAAGAAGCTTTTTGGTTAAGAAGCAAAATGTCTTCAAAGAAAAACCAGAAAGTCCAGCTGCCTCTTGAAAAAGCACCTTCGGGACAGCCATGAACCTGGATGACTGAGAATCTCCACAGATGTTTAGTCTCCTCTTGATTTTTGTAATCACAAATTAACACCGTTGTCTTTGAGAAATAGCGATAAGAGTTTCACTCCTTCAAATATTTGAATAAAAAACTTGAGATATGCAGCAAGTAATTCGTTCCTATTCTACGTTTTCACACATTATTCTTACTTAAAGGATTTCATGTTGCTTATTAAAGCATTTTCCCTGCCTTACGCCATGACAGACTACCTGTGGCCCTTAAAATCTGGTCACAATTGTTGAGAACAGCAAAGTTCCTAGGATTCTGAGAGGCGAAAGATATTAAAACTCTATTTTAAGGACTGAAATAGAGAGATTAGTTTAAAAAAGCAAATGTTCAAAACGGCCCCTGCCAGATCTACCAGCTTCAGCTTGGTGCCTTGTCGGCGTTCTGCCATTAATTGGGAAGAAAGGGGCAGAAACAAATAGTCAATAAAACTATTTATGATGTATACCTTTATGATGGGAACTTGGGACACTTAAGGAAGTGTCTATATGTGATGTAACACACTTTGCACCTCCAATGTTATCCCTGGTCCCATCATGACACATTTGCTGGTAACAGATGATTCCACATATAAAAGAGTATTTATTTGCATAGTAGAGAGAGCAGGTAGGTGTATAACTCAACATTATCCCTAGACTACCAGTACATAATTATATTCACAGTACAAATAAATCGGTATACATTTAAGCCTAGTATCTCTACCATTCGATGGAACACAGAATAGAAAATAGAAAAATTGGCAAGGTGAAGTCTGCTCTACACAAGCTACTGATTTGTGCAAAACAGCCACACATTGGCCAAGTTTCACAGCACGGCTCCGGGTTAGTGAGAGGCTTGGCACTGCATGCCGTCGGCAAGCCGGTTATAATTGGGAGTGTAGGAAGAGATTGCCACTCGCAAACAGTCATCCAGGTGTTTGTCCGTCATCCGAGTTCTGTTCTTTGACTTGATAAATCTCCGTGTCGAGAAGACGGACTCGCACTGGTAAGTGGACCCAAAGTAAGACTTGATCTTGGCAGCCGTCTTCCTCAACAGAGGGAATTTTTGGGCGTCCACCAGGTTCCAAAAGTTGGCATGGCTCGAGTTGGATTTGAGAATGATGTCGTTCTGAAGGCCCACAATCTCCATCTCGACCTCTTCCACCAAGGCCTGGCACAGTTCCCCGATGGCCACGGCTGTCTCCGCGACATCGATCGGACTGAACGGGTTTTCAAAGAAGGACACTACCGGCTCGATGCTGGTGAACTGCTGGAAACGGGCGTGGAATTGTTCCTCCAAAGTCTCGAGGTAACCCACAAAGGGCGCGTTGTTGAAGTCGCTGTCCCCGACCACTTGCTTCATGGAAGGGAAGGGAAGGAGGGACTTCACCTGCAGGTGTGACTTCCACAACCTCAGTTTGCCTTTGAAGGAGTGGACCGAAGAGATCATGCCGGAAAGATGCTTATCATTTCGATGCAGCTCAATATTCAAACTGTTGAGTTCTTGCATCAAGTCAGCAAGGAAAGCTAAATCCACCAACCAGAACCGGTCATCCAGCTGTTCCACATACTGGTCTTTAGTTTTTAAAAACGCCTTTATTTCATCCCTCAGGGTTAAAAACCTGGCAAGGACTTTGCCTTTGCTGAGCCACCTGACCTCTGTGTGCAAGATCAGGTCCCCGTATTCCGCGTCCACATCCTTCAGGAGGGCTTTAAAGAGCCGATGCTGCAAAGAGACGCCGCGGATGGAGTTTATGATTTTGGTAACCACGTCCATGACGTGTTTGAACTGCAGCACTTTGGCACACAGTGCCTCTTGGTGGATAATGCAGTGATACGAAATAAACTTTGGGAAAGTTTCGTCCTTTTGGCAGTGAGCAATGAACCCGTCCATGCTGCCCACCATGGCGGGCGCCCCGTCGGTCGTGATGGAAGACAGTTTATGAAGAGGGAGGTTGGTTTCGGTGGCGTAGTTTCTGAATGTCAGGAAGATATCCTCGCCCCTCGTTTTCCCTTTCAAAGACAGGATTTTGAGGAGCTCTTCCTTTACCGCCAGATCGCTAAAGACGAGCCTGACGATCATGGCCAGTTGGGATGTGTCGGTTATGTCGGTGGACTCGTCCAGCTGCAGGGAAAACCAGAGACACTTCTGCAGGTCGCTTTGCAGCTGGTACTCCAAATCGTTCGAGATGGATTGGATTCTACGAGAAACGGTGTTCCCGGACAACTGGAGTTTTTGTATGGCGGTCATGATCTCTTTCTTATTGGAGAAGCCTTCGAAAATCGAGTCGGCCGCTGTCAGGAACACCTCTTTCAGCAGCTCGCCGTCCTCGAAGGGTTTGTTTCGTTTAACCAGCAAACTGGCGATTTTGAAAGAGGCGATGGTGGTGTTCTTGGAGTGGACCACGGGTTTGGTGTAGACGGTCAGCTGGGAGGCAAACTTGGACTTCATCTCTTTCACTTTCATTTTGCGAAGCTCGGAATCGAGGGGGTAGTTTTTGGTGAACGTGCCATGGTTTCTCTCAAAGTGCCGCTGGACGTTGTGCTTCTTGGCCACCGCGACCGTGGATGAGCAGATTAAGCACACCGATTTGCCGTTCACGTCCATGAAACAGTACCGTTCCTCCCATTCTTTATGGAACAGATACGTCCTTTGTCTTTTACGGGCTGGCTCACTTATTTTTGCAACTAGAAAGAAGACGAGAAGTAAAAAAAGGATAATTCAGCACCTGCTCGTAAGCAAAGACATTTTTAATTTTTTTTAAAAAAAATTATACTCTATAAGTAGATGATGTGATGGAGTGTAGTCTGGATTCCCGAGAGGGAGGGGCTCCCTCCCAGAGGTCAAGCAGAGCTTGGAATGCCTGGTAGGCAGGAAGAAGGTCAAAACAGACCGGGGTAAAATGCTCTGAAGTTTGCTACCGGTTCGCTTTGCTACTGGTTCGCTTGGCGTGCACAAATGCAATATGCACCAAATGCGTACTTTGCGCACATGCACACTGCAGGCACTACCGCGCAGTGCTGAAAAAGAATTAAGCCTTTTCTGAGTCTTTAAAGGTAAGTAGAACAGCGAGGAGGGGGCAAACAGCTGTGCTGAGTGATTTATATTTGCTAGAAAGTAGGATTCCCTGCTTTCTAGCGAATATAAATCATGTGGCACAGCTGATCATCGGAAATACCAGTTGGGCTGAACTGATAGCATTTTTTTACTACTGGTTCGCCTGAATGGGTAGCATTTTTTACTACTGGTTCGGGCGAATCGGTCCGAACTGGTAGCATTTTACCCCTGAAACAGACCCCTCCTAGGAGTTCACAAGATATATCTCTAGTTATGCAGATATTAGTGCTTTAGTCTAGCAAGATTCTGTCTGTAGGCAAATAGCAATAAAGAAACTATTCAGAACGACTCCAGGGGTCGTTCTTGGTTCTTGGGGGCCTGCCATAGCTGCCATAGCTGCCATCTTGTCTTTCAAACCCACCCACCCCCATCCATCACTCATTTATGGCATTCCATGCTCAGTAAAACCAGAACATTAAAAGGAACTCCTTCCACATGCTATACATATATATGCTTTCTACCCAAAGAATTATAAACATCTTCTTAACACCATATTTAAACACCAGAGCCATGATGACACAGTGGTTAGAATGCAGTACTGCAGGCTAACTCACTGCTCACTCCAGGAGTTTGATTCTGACTGGCTCGAGGTAGACTCAGCCTTCCATCCCTCCGAGGTCGGTAAAAGGAGGACCAGATTGTTGGGGGCCAAGATGCTGACTCTGTAAACTGCTTAGAGAGGGCTGGAAAGCACTGTGAAGCGGTATATAAGTCTAAGTGCTATTGCTAAATAAGCAGTGACCCAGCATTTGGCACTTACTATTCATTTTCTCTATTTTTTCTTGGACTGCATTTTGATGGAAGTTGCTGCTCTGGGAAGCGGGGCACTCATTCAGCTCCATCATCCTTTTCCGATTTGGTACCGATTTTCTCCTCTGTTTCTCCCTCTTTTTAATGCCATCTCCTTCTGGCAGCCCCACCAATGAGTCTCCTTTTCTCTCGACTGCCCACTTATCGGCTTCTGCAGTGAACACAGGAAGCTAGTAAAAACTCTTTTGGGAAACAAGAGGCACTAACCAAATCCAGTTAACGCAAGCTGTAATTCAGGATTGTCTTCCATATTGGTAAATATGGTATGATTTCATAATGGGTGAAAGAGAGCAGCTTACCAAAGGCAGCCATTAGTCCGCCATCTTGCTCCACGGCTTGCTTGCGGAAACCTTTCTGGTCAGGATCTGGCAGAATCCCTTCTTTCTCAGTGACCTGGACTGCCACATCCTCAGTTGTCACTGTGCCCTGAAAAGAAGAACAGAAAGTTGTGTCGCTAGCAAAATTCAATGGCTAGTTTACAAGCGAGGTGGAATCATGATTAGGATCCTGTATTGGTCTGTGGGAATAACATGAAGGAACGAGGGGAAGAGATGCTGCCTAGGGAATGAACAGATAACAGGAGGAGGAGGCCTCACCTGCTGTTCTGACCTAGGCTTCCTTAGAAAGTATACAGCACAATCTTAGTCCCGGCAAACCTCTTTTATTCATACGGCTGTGAGTTATTGTCATTCCCAGTCCGAAAGGCTTCTCAAACAGTCTTGCAGGGGAGTGTTTACAAACACCCACCTTATCTCCCTTGGAATGCTGCCAGAGAACTAATTGCCAAACGCAGGGCAAGGCCAAACTTGGCACAGAGTCAAACAGAACTTTCCAAAGCTTGAACCGACCAGATGAACTGCTTCCTGCAAAAGCTCACAACCCGTTCGCTGCTCTTTTATGTCTTATGGGAGGGGCCAATTATCTCCAAGCCTTACTCCCAAGTCGACCATATTTTCTTAGCTGTTCATGTCTTTTGGCAACTCTGTGCTTGCGCACACTGGGAACAGGCTCACACTGTTCTTCTGCCTCGCTGCTGTCAGACTCCGGAGGCAGCAAAGAACTACCAGATGGCCTTGCCCCTCTCTGCCTCCAACTCAGAGCCCTCGTCCGAGCCTTCCCCAGACTCCAGGACACCCCCACGTTCCTCCCCAACCTCCTCACTGTCCGAATCTGCTGCCAGCTCTGCTGACTGCTGGCGGGCCACACCACCTGCCTAAGGGACCAAGAAAGAAACTGAAATAGGATCAGCTCTAATATATCAGCCTGTGAAATGTGACTGTGGGAGATTTGAGACTTACATCTTAGCCCTCCTAAGTGAACCAGACAAGGAAACACAACCATATGAATTAAATCCTACTTTTATTGTAAGGCTGTGTTAACAGAATCTTGTACAGGTTGTCCTCGACTTACAACAGTTCATTGAGTGCCTGTTTAAAGTTAACAATGGCACCGAAAAGAAGTGACTTACGACCGGTTTTCACAATTATGACCACTGTAGCATCCCCATGTGATGAAAATTCAGACGATTGGCAATTGATTCATATTTATGACCGTTGCAGGGTCCCAAGATTATGTAACCCCTCCTTTTGCGACCTTCTGACAAGCAAAGTCAATGTGGAAGCCACATTCACTTAACAACCATGTAAGGACTTAACAACTCCATGGCAAGAAAAGTAACAACACGGAGCAAAACTCACTCAACAACAGAAATTTGGGGCTCAATTGTCATAATTTGAGGACTACCTGTACTTTATTTTCTTCCTGTTATGCAGCTGTGGCCTCCTCTTCCTTTTATTGGATTGTTCCCTAGGCAGCATTTAGTTTACTTTTTACTTTACTTGATTGTCATTGCAAGGAATGCAAGGAAATTAAATGCCATCTTCAGTGTACATTATAACTATAAAAATAAAACATAAACACACATCCTTACATGCTATACAACTGAATTGAAAACACCTGATATGGCATTAATATTGCACTATACAGTAGAATTCAACATAGTTACTGCTCTGGGACAGAAGCTGTTTTTCCGCCTATTTGTCCTTGTTTTTATTGTCCTGTACCATCTGCCAGATGGTAATAGTTCAAAAAAAAAAAAAAAGGGTGCCCAGGATGAGATGGATCTTTAAGAACGTTTTGAGCTTTCTTAAGGCAGCGGGAGCTATAAAGCTCTTCCAAGGAGGGGAGAGGGCAACCCATGATCCTCTGGGCAATGACGTTGACCCTCTGGAGCGCTGTCCTATCCGCCACTGTGCAATTGGCAAACCATACACAGGTGCAGTTAGTGAAAATACTCTCTAGGGTGCAGCGGTAGAAGGTCCTCAGCATTTCTTCTCCTTCCTCAAAGTCATTCCCACATTCCAAATCTCTGCAGGCCCCAATGCAAGATCTTCCTAAAACACAGACCTCCAACAGATATGAAGCATGAGAAGGACAGGCGGGGAGGCTGAGTGAAGAATCGAAGCAATCAACTTGCAATTCTCTCTATCTCTCTTTCTCCCCACAAAACAACCTTTTCCCCCTACCTGAGACTGTTGTGCAGCTGTTATGTCTGCTCCGCCACAAAGAAGAGAGGTTGACTGGGCACGTATCACCGACATCATTCCATCTCCTGGAAGAAACCAAAGGTAAAAATATAGGCAGTCCTTGACTTACAAAACAGTTCATTTAGTGACCGTTCGAACTTACAATGGCACTGAAAAAAAGTGACTTAGGGCCGTTTTTCACTCTTACTGTAAAATGATTGGAGATCTATCTTTGACTCAGAAGACCTATAAAAGTACAATATTTTTCAGAGTATAAGATGATCCAGAGTATAAGGAACACTGTGATAGAGTTGAGGGCCGTTTGTAAACTGAAACAGTATTTGCTGTGTGAGCAACAAGGAAGGAGACAGCAAAAAAGCCTGGGCGTGGCTTAGCTCAACTGTTCTAAAGCTGCATGCTGTGCTGATCTCTGAAACTAAAACTGAAACTCCTCTCCTCTGCTTGTGTTTTGCTTGTATTTACTACCCCGTTGGAAAACCTGCTTTTGGTATTGTATATTTACTTCATTTGTTATAGTATATATAAAAAGACGTTATTGAATCCTGCTGAATCAGTTACTTGCGTGTGCTTTCTGGATGTGATTGCTGCTGCAAACTCTGACAGTCCTTGCAGCAAATAGCGAACAGCCACATCAGCTTCAGGACATTATTGCAACCTGATTCAGCACGAGCAGCTGATTGGTGGGTGGATCAGCGTCCCGGAATACCCCCAATCAGCTGTTCCGGGTTGCAGGGATTGTCACAGACCATCACCTCCTCCGTGCCTTGCATTTTTGGCTACATTCGGTGTATAAGATGCACCCAAATTTTCACCCTCTTTTAGGGAAAAAGTGTGTCTTATACTCCGAAAAATATGGTAGATCTTTAGAATCCTCAAGAAGAGAGAAAAGCAACCTGTTGATCCTTACCTTGTAGGATGGACGTTCCGTCACTTTCATGTTTCATCCACCTTCGCAGAGCGCTCTGTCGGGCATCTGAGGACGTCTTGAATAGTTCAGGAAAGTTGGGGCCCGATTCTGTATACTGAAACGTAGAACAAAGGGTATGTGTGTGTGTGTGTGTGACATGGTTAGGAACCCCACCACATGTACAAACACAGAAAAAGATAACCAGAAAGTTCTGAGCAATTGAGGAGAAGGCCTCTTGGATCAGGACCAAACGTTTTACCTGCTGTTCTTCTTGTTTCTTGTCCTCGGCCTGGGTCAAGAGGAAAATTTCAGCCAGGGCTACAGCTTGGGAACTGGTCTCTGCTCCACATTCTCGGACCCACCTCTGCATCTCCGGAGGAATGACAGCTAAGAATTGCTCCAGGATGAGCATGTCCAAAATCTGGTTCTTGGTGTGTTGCTCTGGTCTGAGCCACAGATGGCAGAGATCGTGGAGCTTCTTACAGACCTCCCGAGGCCCCTTGGCATCCTGGTAGTGGAACTGCCGGAAACACTGACGATGGACCTCCGGACGGAGCCCCCAGTTTTCTCCACTGCTCCCTGACTTGATGGTCTCAGGGTCCCTTCCAGCTTCTGGGCCAACTGTATTTTGCTCATCCATCCTTGAGATATTTTCCCGAACAGGACAGACGGCCTTCCTAGGCTGTCAATTACAAGCCGCCAAGGCAATGATGGCTCTGATTGATGATGGCTACCAAGTTCTGCAAAGTCAAGACCATGTAGTGTCATTGCAGTGTTCTTCTTTCTTCTTCCAGCATTTTCCCAGCCAAGGTTGGGTGGCTCTCAAGGAACCAGAGGAAATCCCTGCTGAACGAGCCTCTCCCTTTCATACATCCATTTTTTTCATCTTTTCATTTATTTATTAGGTACGCCACACAGCACTCATTCCCAAAGGATTTTGAAGGATGGAGTAAAGGGCTCTCAGCACTGGGAGACAACAAGGCAAACTCTCAAACCGTTTTATCCTGTAAAAAAAAGGGATGGTCCAACCTTGGAAACTTTTTAAGACTTTTGCAGACTTCAACTCCCAGAATTCCCCAGCCAGCATCCTCCAAAGATGTGATCCAGTTTTAAGGGCGAGACTTTGCCTTAGTCCAAAACCACACAACTTCCCATCTGCCTTCACAGAGTGATTGCAACCCCCTTTCCCCTCTAAACAAGATTACATTCAATGTTCAACCATTCATTTAGTGACAGTTTGAAGCTTTCAACCATTCCTTTAGTGGCTGTTCCAGTACAATGGCACTGGAAAAAGTGACTTTATGATCGTTTCTCACACTTAACAACCGCTGCACCGTCCTCATGGTCACATGATCAAAATTTGGAAGTTTGGCAACTGGCTTAGATTTATGGTGGTTGCAGTGTTACCGGAGGTCCTAGGATCCCCTTTTGTGACCTCCAATGGCCAGATTCACTTAACGACTGTTACTAAATGCATGCAACGCTTCACTTAACAACAGTGACATAGGATAGTCATCCAACGGGGCAAAACTCACTTAACAACCGTCTCGCTTAGCAACAGAAATGTTGGCGAACTCGATTGCGGTCAAGCACTACCTGTACTTTTCTACAGGATCCAAGATGGACTACGGTGGGCTGCCTTAAGACAGAAGAGCTGCAAAAACGAATGGCAGCCCACCTCCCACCCACTCCCCATACAAAACAGGCATCCCCCCTGGCGGTTCTTTCCATGGGACATTTGCTCTTTAAAGAGCCTCCCCCACCTCACCCCATGCACAAGAGAGGGGGGGGCTGCAATGCCCCCCCCCACGCGTGGCAGGGGAAGGGAAGGGCTCCCCTACCTGCCTTCATTGTTCTCTCTCTCTCTCGTTGAACAATACCTGGATGCTGACCTCCCCCCTCCCCTTTTGGCTCTGCAGAAGGAAGGAAGGAAGCGCCAGGACCAGCAGGACGAAGAGCCCCCTCCCCACCAGCAGACCCCGCCCTGCCCTTTTTGTTTTGCTTCTTTGTAAAAGGGGGGGAGAGGAGGTTCGAGCCTGGGCATTTCCCCTCCCGGGGGAGGGAATCCCACCACCCACCGTCTCTGCAGCCCTGGGAAGAGCCCTCTCTCTGCAAAGCTACGGTGCAGGGGGCTGCAAACTCACCCAATTGTTCCCCCCAAGGGGCTCTGCAATGCAAAGCTCTCGAGCAGGGGGAGGAAAAAAAAGGCCACTCCCCCCTCCCCTCGTTTCCCCACCCACCCCCGTTGGAAAAGGCGGAGCAGGAAGAGCCCTGGGCGGGAGGATCGCTTGCAAGGGAAGGACCCCCCCCCCCAAACTCCACTTTCCTGCCCCCAATTCGCTTCCTCTCTAGGAGGTTGGCTCGTTTCGTTTAACCCTTGCAAAGCCACCAAAACGGATCGGGCCCTCCCCGCCGCCCTTTTTGCAAGCTGCCCAACCAGGATGCAGGCGAAAACATCTGGGCACCGCTGGGCGGGCGTGGCTAGGCAAGCATGCAAACTTGCAAAGACATGCCAAGTTGCAACGGGAGGTTGCACCGCTGAGTGCATCTTCTGCTTCTCATCGGGGGGGGGGGGGGGGGAAAAAAAAAGCCCCCCCCTCCCCCGCAGCAAGATATTTCCCCTCCCCCTTCCTTCCCGCTGCAGGGAGGCGCCTTGCCTCGAAAGCGTGAGCTGGGTTTCGCTGCGGCACGGGTTAAAACCAGCGACGGCTGAGTTCCTAGAGAGGAAGAGAAGGCAACAAGGAAGAAGAAAGGGGAGGAGCCTCTCTAGGATACGGGCTCCTCCCAGCAGGTGGTTTGTGGGAGGGGGGAGGTGAAAGGGAGGCGGTTGCATGGGCGCTTCTGCAGGGTCGGAGCTGCTGCTGGTGAGCCCCGGGGCTTCTGGGGGGGGGGGGGGGAGGGGGGGCCGGGGGCGCCGGGGGGGGGGCCCCGGGGGGGGGGGGGCTCCCCAGCCCAACCCTGTATTGTTTCTTGGTTGGGGGGAGGGGGAGGGGGAGGGGGAAGGGAAAGAGCCTTGGTGGCGCAGCAGACTAAAGCGCTGTTAACTAGCACCAGCTGCCTGCAATTACTGCAGAGTTCAAATCTCAGCCTTCCATGCCTTGCACATGCCCTGCACGTGTGCAGAAATGAACAGGTTCAACCCTTGCAATTAAACAAAAGGAAGAATCCTGACTGACTATAATATATGGGGTTTATTTCATCAATGGTTAAGAGAATAAACAGGAAAGCAAGGTATTATAAAATTCAATGAGTTAAGAAGAGAAATGTTACAATAATAGATATGTGAAGCATTATGTATTTGTATTAATATAAATAATGAATACAGTGGTACGTTTAAACTGTTATGGCACAAAAAGAAGATAAATGTTACAATAATTAGCACTGTTAATTAGCACTTTGCCTGCCTGCAATTACTGCGCGTTCAAATATCACCAGGCTCAAGGTTGACTCAGCCTTCCATGCCTTGCACATGCCCTGCACATGTGCAGAAATGAACAGATTTAACCCTTGCAATTAAAGAAAAGGAAGAATCTTGACTAACTATAATATATGGGATTTATTTCATCAATGGTTAAGAGAATAAACAGGAAAGCAAGGTGTTATAAAATTAAATAAGTTAAGAAGAGAAATGTTACAATAATTAGCACTGTTAATTAGCACTGAGCTGCCAGCTGCCTGCAATTACTGCGAGTTCAAATCTCACCAGGCTCAAGGTTGACTCAGCCTTCCATCCTTCCGAGGTAGGTAAAATGAGGACCTGGTTTGTGGGGGCAATAAGCTGACTTTGTATAAAATAGAACACTGCTCAGGGGGGGCCGAAAGCCCTACTAAGCAGGTATATACAAAAGTATGAAAGCTATTGCTTAACGCATTGTAAGCCACTCTGAGTCTCCAGAAAAGGGCGGCATATAAATCGAACCAATAAATAAGGGGGCCTTGAAACGTGGCCAGAAAAGCTGCCTCCCCTCGGTCTCCCCTTTGCATAGCAATTCTGATGGAGGCTATTCCTGGAGGTTTAAAATCAAGCATGCCCAAAATATTAGATTGTGCAGAAATGAACAGATTTAACCCTTGCAATTAAAGAAAAGGAAGAATCTTGACTAACTATAATATATGGGATTTATTTCATCAATGGTTAAGAGAATAAACAGGAAAGCAAGGTGTTATAAAATTAAATAAGTTAAGAAGAGAAATGTTACAATAATTAGCACTGTTAATTAGCACTGAGCTGCCAGCTGCCTGCAATTACTGCGAGTTCAAATCTCACCAGGCTCAAGGTTGACTCAGCCTTCCATCCTTCCGAGGTAGGTAAAATGAGGACCTGGTTTGTGGGGGCAATAAGCTGACTTTGTATAAAATAGAACACTGCTCAGGGGGGGCCGAAAGCCCTACTAAGCAGGTATATACAAAAGTATGAAAGCTATTGCTTAACGCATTGTAAGCCACTCTGAGTCTCCAGAAAAGGGCGGCATATAAATCGAACCAATAAATAAGGGGGCCTTGAAACGTGGCCAGAAAAGCTGCCTCCCCTCGGTCTCCCCTTTGCATAGCAATTCTGATGGAGGCTATTCCTGGAGGTTTAAAATCAAGCATGCCCAAAATATTAGATTGTGCAGAAATGAACAGATTTAACCCTTGCAATTAAAGAAAAGGAAGAATCTTGACTAACTATAATATATGGGATTTATTTCATCAATGGTTAAGAGAATAAACAGGAAAGCAAGGTATTATAAAATTAAATAAGTTAAGAAGAGAAATGTTACAATAATAGATACATGAAGTATTATGTATTTGTATTAATATAAATAATACAGTAGTACGTTTAAACTGTTATGGCACAAAAAAATTTGTACCCAGACGACACACTGTTTAATGAATGGTGAAATGTTTGTATTAAAACAAAACTTTAAAAAAAAATAAAATAAACCATGCATGCCCAACCTTGGTCACTTTAAGACTTCAATTCCCAGAACTCCCCTGCCAGGCTGGGGAATTCTGGGAGCTGAAGTCCACAGGTCTTAAAGGGGCCAAGCTTGCTCCCTCCTCCATGGTTTAAATCATACAGAAGAGAACCTGATGTTTCTCCCAAAGCTGCTTCATATGTTACGGATGCATATTTTGTATATAAGTCAGTGACCATCTTCCTTTTTCTTTTTTTTAGAGTCACTTGCATTTTGAGAAAGTTGTGCGTTGCAGAGATGTGAATTTTGCTGAATCTTGAGCAGAGTTCTTAACCGTCTAGTTATGGAAGAGAACTGTGGGGTTATGAGCCCTATCGGTAAGTCTCCCAATTTTCTGAGGTTTAAGAATCAGAATGCTTTGCACAAGCTGTTTCATGACTACTTCACATTTCTTTCTTTTGGCGTACCAAAAGATTATACGGCATGGCTAATTAAAACATTTGTTTTTCCTAGTAATGCAATTCTGCAGTCATTGGTTACAATAATCGAATGTCAGCTCATTCAATTATTCAACAGTAAGAACTATCATGAAATCTCAGAAATTGGGATTTAAGAAGCACTTTTTCTGACGTTTCTGAATGGCCCAGAAATTATACCAGTGAAGAATTCCTGCTCTATTATTTTTATTAAAAGAGAGAAAAAGGAAGAGATACTGTAAATTTTGCCTGCCAAAACATAAAAACTCAAAGATTGATAGTGTGACATCTGAAATTATTCTGATGGTGGCATTATTATAAAATAATGACCCCTTATCTATATAAATAAAAATGTAAATGTCCATTTGTACATAACCACACATCTCCGAAAGTTCTTCACCGATTGCTTTCAAATTTTGACACAACGTGGCATTCGATTACGGGCGTGTTTTTATATACCTATATTATATACGTGTCACACCTGTGACAGGTAAAAACATGGAAAACATTGAAAGACATTGACAAACATTGAAAAACAGCGCCACCTGCTGGATGTAAAACCAACACACCAACATTTTACCACATGAATTTTGAAAATTAAATCACAAATTTTTCACTAGGTATAATTCCAAAATATATCAACAAAAAAATATCAGCAGTCCAGATACAGAAGACTCAGGTAGCACATACATTTACATGTTTAAAAATGCTATAAAAATTGTTGCTCTGTTCTCTGAGGAAACATACTACACCACAGCTGCAGTTGTGTTTTTACTGAATGAAATGTCTAAAAATGGGCATTTGCACATATATACCTGAATCCTTATAGGAAGCACAGATGAAGGGAATTTTGGGGAAAAGCAGACTGGTTATGAAATGTCACTCCATCAATAATTTCCAGGATAGATAAATCACTTAGTAACAAATCTTGGCAATGCCATGAAAAAAAATGAACATTTTACCACATGAATTTTGAAAATTAAATCACAAATTTTTCACTAGGTATAATTCCAAAATATATCAACAAAAAAATATCAGCAGTCCAGATACAGAAGACTCAGGTAGTCCTCGACTTGCAACAATTCATTTACTGACCATTTGAAGTTACAACAGTACTGAAAAAAGTGACTTATTGCCGTTTTTCATGCTTATGACCATTGCAGCATCCCCATGGTTATGTGGTTTACATTCAGCTGCTTGACAACTGACTTACATTTATGACGGTTGCACTGTTCCTGGGTCATGTGATCACTTTTTGCAACCTCCTGACAAGCAAAGTCAATGGAGAAACCAGATTCACTTAACAACAGGGTTACTAATTTAACAACTGCTGTGATTCACTTAACAAATGTGGCAACAAAAAAAAGTGGTAAAATGGGGCAAAACTCACTTAAGAAATTTCTCACTTAGCAACCGTAGATTTTGGTTTCAGTTATGGTTGTAAATTAAGGACTACCTGTATTAAAGATTAACTGGATTCGATTGGAAAGATTTAAAGAGCTCAAAACCAGATAAGAAAAATATAGTGCTACAAACATAGCAACAGAAACTTAGATATAGAAATTCATAATTCTATAAAATATAAATAGTTGTAAATTAAAGTAATGGGCTCTAGCTTAAGATAGGTAGGAGAGTAGAAACAAATATATTGTTAACATAACATGCTGTGGTGCGGAGAGCTGCGAAGGCCTGGACTGAAAAGGTAAGGGCGATGGCGGAGGATGCAGAAGAGGCCAGGACAGAGACAGAGATAAACAGAGAGAGAGGGAGAGAGCTACATAGAGAAATACAGAGAGATGGGGGGGGGAGGGGAGAGAGAGACATACAGAGATACAGAGAGAGGGGGAGAGACATAGAGAGATACAGGGGGGGGGAGAGAGACATAGAGATACAGAGGGAGAGAGAGAGAGACAGATACAGGGGGTGAGAGAGACAGATACAGAGGGAGGGAGAGATACAGAGAGAGGGGGAGGAGACAGAGATAAGAGGGGGGAAGAGACAGATATAGAGAGGGGGAGAGAGAGACAAGAGAATACAGAGGGGGGAGAGAGATAGATACAGATGGGGAGAGAGAGAGAGAGATATATAGATGGGGAGAGAGGGAGACAGAGAGATATAAAGAGAGGGGGGGACACGGAGGATTTTGTGGTTCCCATTGTTTTTTAGCAACCGGGTCTCTGCCCTAATCACCAGATGGGTAGGCGTGGCTCGGGGGCTGTCATATGACTGATGGAAGTGAGTGACGTCGAGTTGGCCACGCCCACAAAATGTTCGTGGAGAGTTTGGAACTTCAGCCTCGCTCTTTTAGCCCAGCGGAAGCACCAGACTGGGCCACAGCAACGCGTGGCCGGGTACAGCTAGTCTTTGAAATAAAAAAAGAGAGAACAGCGGAAATCTCAAACGGTAGACAAATCCAAAGTATTATTTTCCTGTTTTCATTACAGAAGTTGGCAGTTCAGAGATGGAGAATAAAGAAGAATCGTGTGTTTTGGACGGAGAAAAGAAGGGAGGTAAGAAAAGGGAGCCTCAGAGAACGAAAACCCAATTAAACCAGATGAGGAAAAGCGCATCTCCCTCTCTGGGCAAAGATCCTCCTGGTCAGCTTGCCAGTCTGGGAAAAAACAACAAAGGGAATGAAATGAATTCCTTCCTTCAGCGCCAGAAGAGTTTCCATTCGGACTCCAACCTCATAGCTCATTGCACCAGCTACGTCAAGGAGCAGCCGTTTAAATGCGAGAAGTGCGGAAGGAGTTTCAGTTTGAACGCGCACCTCAGCGCCCATCGAAGGATGCACACGCAGGAGAAGCCCTATAAATGCTCCCAGTGCAGCAAAAGCTTCAGCGCCATGACCAGCCTCACCAGTCACCAGAGGAGCCACACTGGAGAGAAACCCTACAAGTGCTCGGAGTGCGGCAAGAGCTACAGTTCCAGCACCAGCATGGCGTATCATCAGAGGACGCATCGCGGGGAGAAACCGTACAAGTGTTTGGCGTGTGGCATCGGCTTCAGCTTGAGCACGAGCCTCATTTCTCACCAGAGGATTCACACGGGCGAGAAACCTTACAAGTGCTTGGAGTGCGGGAAGAGCTTCCGGGTGAGTACCAGCCTCACTTCCCACCAGCGCATTCACACGGGGGAGAAACCCTACAAGTGCTTGGAGTGCGGCAAGAGCTTTTGCGTGAGCACGAACCTTACGTACCACCAAAGGACGCACACGGGGGAGAAACCTTACAAGTGCTTGGAGTGCGGGATTAGCTTCTGTTTGAGCACCAGCCTCACGTACCACGAAAGGATCCACACGGGGGAGAAGCCTTACAAGTGCCTGGATTGCGAGATGAGTTTCCGACGGAGTTCGGATCTCAACACCCATCAGAGGATTCACACGGGGGAAAAACCCTACCAGTGCATGGTGTGTGGGAAGAGCTTCCGGGTCAGCTCCAGCCTCACTTCCCATCAGAGGACCCACACGGGGGAGAAACCGTACACCTGCTCGCAGTGTGGGAAGAGCTTCAGCAGAAGCACGCACCTCAACGCTCATCAAAGGACCCACCGGGCAGCAGCCGTGTGAATCCTTAGTCTGGGTACACCTGAAAGCAGATCTCATTGAGGAATTCACTCAGAGACAACCCCCTCCCCCCAAAGTGCTTCGAATATGTGGAACAAGATTAATTTTTAATGGACCATATTAATGTTGAGTGATGTGGTGACCTAGAGGTGGAGCTTTCGCCTCAATCAGGAGGCTGTGAGTTCGATCCTAGGTAGAGGCAGATATTCCCTTTTCTTTGTCCAGATGTTTTAGTACTTGGTTTTTGTGTGTCACTTTCATTCTGTAAATGTTGAAGCTGGATTAAAACTTTGCATAACTTGGGTGCTGAGTTGTTATACAAGTGGCAAATAAAATCTTTAGTATTGTCCATTGTTCCTCAAACACATGCTGAAACATACTAATTCTGTCTCCAGAGAATTCAACTGTTATCCCCATGTCACAGCCTTCCTCTCTGGGGTGAGATTAAATGGCTGGGGGTGGGGGTAGAGGGGTCACGATTGGTCACACTGCTTGCTTGCCTAAATGGGCAACTTCCAGGATGCAGGGCCACCGCTGGGAATTCTGGAAAATAAAATCTGCACATCTGGAGGAAGCCAAGTAAGTAAGTGCTGTCCTAGTACAGGACCAGAGATGTTACTTTAATCTCTGCTAAAACTATGTATTAATCTCTTGATATGATCCTACTTATCTTCTATAGGTAGATGTTTGACAAGTTGTCTTTGTGAATTATGAGATAAGGGCAGTGGTGGGATTCAGCCAGTTCGCACCACTTCGGGAGAACCGGTTGTTAACTTTCTGAACAGTTTGGCAAACTTGTTGTTGGAAGAAATCATTAGGGCAGAGAACCAGTTGTTAAATTACTTGAATCCCACCACTGGATAAGGGGCACATATTTTTGAGAAGCTGGGGACACAGCAGTTCTTCTCCATTACCTCTGAAAAATCATGGAGCACAGGCAGAGTGTGCCTGACAATTAGTAAAGCGATTACAGTAGGGGTTGTTCCTATCTTCAAAAAAGGGTGAAAAGAAAAATTCAATCAGTTTGGTGTTGATCCTGGGCAAAATCCTTTTAGCAAATCCTTAAGCAGTCAGTTTGAGTGCCTTTAATAATACTAAAGCATCTTGATTGACAGGAGTGCTTCTCAAGAAAAAAATTGTCAGTCCTATAATTAGAATTTTATAACCATTTTATGAATTTTGGCCATAGGAGTGCAATACACTGTGGGTCTTTATTTTGCAAAGCATTAGATCAGAGGTCTTCAAACTTGGCAGCTTTAAGACTTGTGGACTTCAACTCCCAGAATTCTTCAGCCAGCATAGAATAGCTGGCTGGAGAATTCTGGGAGTTGAAGTCCACAAGTCTTAAAGCTGCCAAGTTTGAAGACCTCTGCATTAGATAAAGCAGGGGTGTCCAATCATTGCCACTTTAAAACTTGTGGACTTCAAATTCCCAGAATTCCCCAGCATGCAATTCCTCAGCATGCAAAAAGCAGCTGAGAGCCTTGGGGGAACCCCAAGATATATATATTCTAAAACCCGATGAATAGGATTTGCTTGGTTGTGGATTTGCTGCATTATATCTAACCAATACTGAATCAACAAATCAAAGTTAATTACAAACATTGCTTAGCTGATACAGGAACACAACCAAATTCTTATTTTATTGTACATGAAGAGTCGGTGTATACAACACTTACCTAGAAGACACAGGTATTTGAAATGATAACAAGTTAAGCTGTTGTTTCTATATATTTATTGTAAAAGTGACAATATGGAAATGGCTTTAGATGGCACCTCTTGGAGTTTTGAAGTTCATCCCTACGGTGGGCTGTGTGACCTGCAGGTTGGACAGGCTGCCAAAGTCCTGCGAATAGAAGAGAGCCGAGATAAACTTAAGTAGATCCCTGGGCAAGAGCTGAAAAGATCTTTTCATTCAGGCTAAATTATCTACTTGAAGCCACTTGGGTGATCTTTGAGGCTCAAATATCCTCGGTGTGCAAAAACAAATGGAAGCTTTTGCAATCATCATGTATTCAAGTATTCTAGAGATTTGCGAAGAATTTTTCTTTGCTTTATCCCCTATATCTGCCTGGCTTTTAAACACCATGCTACATCATAATACTGCTCCCCCACCCACCCCCAACCTTTCAGAACTAGCACCAAGTGGGGTGACTTTTTTGGGAGGGCGGAGCGGAGGGCATCTTCATGTCTTGACTCCCGATGACTGCCTGGATAAGTTCATGCAGTTTTATTGGCAACATTTTCGGAAGTGGTTTGCCATTTCCTTCTTCCTAAGTGTGCAAGGGTGGGACTGGCCTGAAGTTACCCAGCTGGCTTCACGCCAAGGTAGAACTAGAACTCACGGTCACCCAGTTTGGTGCTCTTTATCACCCCACCACACTGACTCCCCTGGCTATTTTATTTTCACTTAATCTGCAGACCCTCACATCAAAAGCCAATTTAAAAAAAAAAAAAACAAAAAAAAAAAAAAACAGCCACTTGGCTACAGAAAAGCAATTCTGTGGGCAGCCATGCCAATGCCCTACTCACCAGCAATTTCAACATTTCCTTGGTATCTGGATCCACTTCAATGATCTCCTGATCCAGGGCAGAGACCTGAAGAAGAAAGAGGCAACGATTGACTTGGTTGTAACAGAGACCAAAGAATTATGAGTCAAAACACAGCCACTGTGTGATGTATACATTTATCATAAACCCCCTTCCTGCAAGCAGCCTGAGATTGTCAGCAAGATGCTTCAAGAAATATGAGCAAGAAAAGGAGTTAAAAGCATCAGCCAAAACTATCTGCAGATTCAACTCTGGCATGTTTACAGCCTTCCCTAACCTGTTGCCCTTCGGATATTTTGGGGACCATTTTCAGGAACATCAGTTGGTATCAATAGTCCTGATGAATAGGAATGTTGAGGCCCCCTAATCCTAAAACTTTTGGAAGAGGGAAATATGTTGAGGAAGGCTGACACACAATATCAGAATAAATCTGTTCTCCATAAAAACTACTGTTAAAGAGTGAAGCACTGGGCATCAAATCCAAACAGCTCCTCAATAAGGTTATATATTCATTTGGGGTATCCTTTATTCTCAGATATTCCAACCTGCAAAGCTTTAAGAACAAAATGTACCTATAGCTAGTAACTGCAAATACTTCTTAATAATTCTGGAGCCCCAAATTTAGAAACTTAACAGAATAGCCTTTCCACCACTGAGTGAAATTTGGGGTCTCAGAGAACATGCAAAATACCTCCCATGGAAGCTGCTCAAAAGGTAATTTTCTGCCCACATTTGCCAAAGTAGATTGCAAACAGAAAGTATTATGGCTCTTCTTTCCCACTTAAATACTATTACAGGAAAAAAATGACCTCCAACTTTTAGTCACTCAGGAATGACAAACAAACAAAAAACAAACACCAAACTAGCAGTTACAAATAGAGACTTCAATTAGACTTAATTTCCTAAATACCTTAATTTCCTAAATAAAGACCCCGTCTTATATTTTTTTGAACCCTGAAATAAGCACTTGGCCTTATTGCCACGTGCTCAAAAGCCCGATTGGGCTTATTATCAGGGGACGATTTATTTGGGGGGGGAAACAGGGTATATTTAAGGAATTGTATCAGGACAGCACCGGATTCAGGTAGATAAATAATCCAAAATATCTTTTGAGCACCTGAAAATATCTCCTAAATTTATTCTAAAATTCTAAAAAAAATAATTTAGAATTATTCTAAATTACAGGTTGTTTTTTTTTTTTTTGGTTTTACTTCCTGTCATTTTCCTGTCATCTTAATTTTGACCTTAATAAAAGTAGAGTAATTTTACCTGCCTTGGCTATTGTCTTTAGGGCTAAACAACTACAGCTTTAAATAGTCGGGGTCCTACCACAGCAAGCCTATTACTTTGTCAATCATCAGAACAGAAAGAAATCAAGACTATATGAACAATATTTTACAAATCTTTCTGTCAAGGGATAAGCCACACAGAAAGGCAAATGCATTGTTTTGGAACACAGCAGGATATAGTACAGCAAGAATGCCCTTCTGTTCATGAGGAAAAAAAGCAATCAAAACCCTGATTAAGACTTCCAAAATCAAGAATGGGCTAAATGAAACCCGTGTCTGAAAAGCTCAGGGTTTGAAGGAGATGGCAAGAGCCCCACAAACACGGGAAATGCTTTCAGGCATTCTCTGCCTGCACTATCAATGACAAAGGCCACAGGTGGAGGCCTTCATCACTTTCGAATGCAGGCTCAGCTCATTGTCCCTCCTGGAGACAGACATGCAGGACAACCCCCCACCCCCTCTGCATTAGAGAGCCCCAAATTTCTGTTGCTTAAGGAGACGTTTGTTAAATGAATTTTGTCCCAATTTTACCACCTTTCTTGCCAGTTTTTTAAGCGAATCACTGCAGTTGTTAAGTTAGCGACACGGTTGTTACGTGACTCTGGTTTCCCCGTTGACTCTGGCAAAAAGGTCGCAAAAGGGGACCACATGACCCTGGGACACTGCAACCGTCATAAATAGGAGTCAGTTGCCAAGCAGTTGAATTTTGATTATGTAACCATGGGGATGGTGTAATGGCCACAAAAGTGAAAAACGTATGTTTTTCACACTTTTTTGCATGTCCTTTTTTGCACTATAGACCTGAATATGCTTTTATTTAAATTTAAGACATGAAACCTCTATGAAGCTCATCTGAGATATAAAACTTACCTCTGGGACGTAGTTATCCCTTCTTTCTCTTTCCTCTTCTTGTAGTTTGATAGAGATACCTCTGACTGGCCCTCTCTGAATGCGTTTCATCAAATGGGTGACATACCTGTGGAGAAGAACGGGGTGGGGTGTTTAGTATATTTCACTGTGATTTTTTTTCTCCCCCTAAAAACCATCAGGCAATTAAGCGAAAATCTCAGTAAGCTCTGAACTGACTCAACAAAACTCAGCCTTAAAAGTTTCAAGTATAGGACAATGCCAAAGCTGAACAAAGCTGTAACGTCTGTTTGAACCACCCAGTTTTCCATAATGTCTGAAAAGCTCAGGGTTTGGTAGGAAATAAAGGAATCCGCCAAACACGGGAAATGCTCTCAAGAATGCTTTCCCTGCATTATCAATGACCAGGCCACAAATAAGACCAAAATCACTTTCGATGCAGGTGCTGCTGCTTAATGAGCAGAATCCAGATTTAGAATGACCGCATGAAGTCCCATCAGCAACAATTCCTACCCAGCGATTTTGTTCCGCAGTTTCTTGCTAGGGATGATGGCGATTTCCTCACACACTCGCTTGTTTGTGTGGAAGTCATTTCCCAGGCGAGTATAATATTTTTCAATGATCACCCGTGCCGCTTTTTTCA